TCTATCATCTATCATCTATCATCTATCATCTATCATCTATCATCTATCATCTATCATCTATCATCTATCATCTATCATCTATCATCTATCATCTACTAAAGACGATCCAAGCGTAAAGGCGTCTCAGCCTCTTATCGACGATACCACGACTTATCAGCCCACGGTCGCTGTTTGGCCGTCTTGTCTTGACTCTTGCCCGCAGATTAATGATCAGCTTCCCACCAACGGAAGCGAGTCCCAGCAATCCGGAACCATCGTCCTTTGCCCAGCGTGCAGCAGCTGGCCCCAGTGCGCCCGCAGTGCGCCCCGCAGCAAACCACTGCAGCCCGAATCCGTCTCGAAAGGGCAACAACGGGGGCGGATCAGTGGCACAGCGTCTCGGCAGACTCCTTCCACCACACCCAGATGCGAAGTCACAGCGAGACAGCCCGCCAGCTAGCCAGCCCTAAGTACCTAATCTCGAGATTGTCGAGGCCGGTCGGTCCACAGTGGCACAATCCCAACCCCCAAGTCAAGTCAACCCCCAAGTAAGTCTCCGCTACTGTATGGATGGACTGAAAGTCTATGACGCGCCAGTGCGCGCTCGCCCGACGTCGCGGTAAAGGGGACCTTCCCAGTGGATGCCATCCTGTGCTCGGCCATGCCTTGCTAGTGATGCTTGCCGTCTTATCGTGCAATTCGTTGGGAGCTGGCTCGGTGGTCAGCGGCTATCAAAGGGCCGTTTGAACGCATGCTCCGTGTGTTGTGGACGACGGCCGAGGTCGAGATCCAATGGAGGTTATGAGGCTCTGATGGGCATTTCTTTGTTGGATATACTTGTCTGTGTTGGTGATTGAAGTTTCTAATCGTCACTCTTTATTGTCTCTCAATATGACTCCCATGTTGCTCGAAACTCCTCCTCCAACAGAGGCTATACCTCCGAAGAATATACCTATATGTTCAGATTCTTCTGTAGTACCGTCCGAACATGCTTCGACCAGGACGAAGGAGCTGTGGTGGTTACATGGACATCCACATTCGAAGCGGTATTCAGACCCAAAACTCGTCAGTCTTGCAGCACTTGTACGGCATGATGGAGATGTGTACAAGGGGCAGAGGGGATTTTTATATCCCACGTCCACAGAATTGAATTGTTCGTATAATTCGATGACATGGGACGAATTCGATCAAGTCACAGAAAGTATTGCTTTGGTGTATGCGCAGCAGTTGCGGAAAGAGCTTGAGGAAGCGAATGCGACTCGGAAACAACCGACAATAGCATTGCTTGGCAGAGGAATCACTGTGGAATATCTTTGTACGCAATTGGCTCTACAGAAGCTTGGTGTCCGTGTGCTGCTCCTGGCTGAGTCGAATGCGTTGGATGCTTTGCATCATCTGCTAGAATCCTGCCAGGCACTAGCAGTCATCACCGATTCTAGGAATTCGGAAGCAGACACCAATGGCATCAAGAAATTGGAAATGGTGGAAGTTCTGCCCAAAGGACTTTCGAACCGGAAAGATGTCGATGCTATGAAGTTTCAAGACTTCGGTGATGTCTGGGAAAGACATGCATTCATAATCCATTCTTCTGGCTCGACTGGCATGCCAAAACCTATTGTTCACACGAACAGGAGTATGATGCTTATTGCGAGGATGTATAGATTATTTCAGGAGTTTGATGTTGAAAACTGGTTTCTGCTTTTTCCGTTGTGAGTGATTTCCCTACGGGCATAGATGTCGATGTCACTAACGTCTCAGATACCATATTGCTGGCATTTCAGTAGCGCTTTCAAATTTACCTAATGGCCAAATATTGTCATTTCCTCCGCTTTCGTGGCCTCCGTCTTCTTCTGCTATCTTTTCGGCATGGAAGACACTTGAGTCACTCGGACATCCAGTGGATACTGTTCATTGTGCCCCCACCCTTATCGAAAACATGTACGAATACATCCAAGATCACGGCGGAGATTTCACTCCTCTGACTTCTTTAAAATTGCTGCAACCAGGCGGCGCAGCATTGTCTGACAGCATCGTTAAAGCTTTGACATCAAATGGGGTCAATGTCAAGACGACTTATGGTAGTACCGAGATTGGACCTCCTTTTCGGACGATACCACATACGCGAGATAATCCCAGGTGTTACACCTTCCGAAATCTGTACCCTGACAGCAAGTTTCTGAAGATGGAAGAAGTGGGAGAGGGGTTATATGAATGTGTTGTGTACAAAGGATTTGAGTTGGCCGCCAAATTGTGGGAAGGGAAGCCTGATGACGAGCCGTATCGAACAAATGATCTGTTTATCCAGGATCCTCCAGGAAGTGGGTTTTTCGTGCTGCAAGGGAGGAAGGATGACATACTCGGTAAGTGATTTCCTGCAGCTAGACGATTTATGCTAAGTAGGCTAGTGCACTCGAATGGTGAAAACTCAACGGCTGGTCCGCTTCAGCTTGATATTCAATCGTCCTCAAAAATTATCAACAAAGTCATTGCTTTAGGCCACTCGAGACCTTCCGTTGGTCTTCTCGTTGAACTTCATCCCGAATACAACTCTTCGGACCCTGCAGTTCTGGACCAAGTCTGGAATGCTATCAAAGTCGTCAACGAGCGTTTCCCAAAGCACTCTCGGATCATGCGGTCCATGATCTGCGTACTACCTCAAGGCTGCACTTTACCGGTGACGCCCAAAGGAAACGTCAAGAGAAAAGAAGTCGAACGAATCTATGCGACTGAGATCGAGACTTTATACTCCGAAGATGTCGTTCCACTCCTCGCCAATAGCACCAGTCAACAACCGCTTTCGGAATTTCTTCGAAATATCCTTGCATCACTTTCCGATGTCCCTGTCTCTGAAATCAACGACTACACTTCTTTCTACGACTTAGGAATCGACTCTCGACTCGCTCTCTCCCTCCGAACATCACTTTCTTCACATCTCTCACGTCCAGTCTCGCTAAGCACGATCTTCGAAAATCCTTCAATCACAAAACTTGTCGCTGTACTCGCACATCCAAGCACCAGTGACCATACAGATGAAGTCGCAGCATCTACTAACTCAGCTGCGGACATCACAAACGAAATTCTCGCTCGCTTGACAAAAGAGCTCACTTCCTGGCCACCACGAGATACTTCCAAAACCTGGCCAAAAACAGAAAATGAAGTCGTGCTCCTGACAGGCGCCTCTGGTTCCCTAGGTACTGCCCTCCTCGAGACATTATCTTCCTCTCCCAAGGTTGGCAAGATATACGCCATGGTCCGTGGTCCAAATAATGTCTCGAAGCTTGGTGCCTCGCTTAAGAAAAGGGCTTTGAGAACCGAAATGCTCGATGACGGGAAAGTCGAGGTGTTGAACTTCAGTATGCAAGACCCATTGCTAGGACTGGATGTCGATGTGTATGCGAGGTTGGCGGAAGAGGTTACGATCGTGGTTCAAAATGCTTGGAAGATGGATTTCAACCTCGGTGTTGAGGAGTTTGAGGGGGATTGTTTGCGGAGTATGTTTCTTTTGTTTTCATTTCCATCAAGTCTTCACGTGGGATGATTATTAACTACTCCAAAGATACACTCTCCCTTCTCCGTCTCGCACACGCTGGCCGACCAAAGACTTTCGCGTTCACATCCAGCATCTCAACATGCATGGGCCCATCCTCCCCTCCCTCCGTTCCCGAAAACCCCATCAGCGCAGACCCCACAATCGCGCTCTCAACCGGCTACGCACAATCGAAATTCATAAGTAAATCCCCGCTTCCCTTTCCCTATACCATCTCACTCCCTAACACAAAATCAGTTGAACGCCTAACCCAATCCGCCACCACAAAACTCGGCATCAAAGTCAACCTGCTCCGAGTCGGGCAACTCTGCGGCCATACAAAGACTGGGTATTGGAACACAGACGAAATGTGGCCCATCATGTTTGCGACCTCTGCTCACACCACTGTATCCGCGATCCCGGACTTCAAGGACAAGGTCGTCGATTGGGTGCCGGTTGATGTGGCGGCTGCGACGGTGATGGATGTCCTGCTTGCTGACGAAGAAGGGAGAGAGGAATACACGGTGCATAATATTGTTAATCCGAAGCCGGTGTCTTGGAGTGCGTTGGTTGATATGATGAAAGTAGCAGTGGGAAAGCAGATCGTTGTTGTGGGTATGAGGGAGTGGGTCAGGAGGTTGAGTGTCCTGGCCGAGAAAGGCGTTTCACCAGATGAGGTGCCAGGGTTGAGGTTGTTGCCATTTTTTGAGGGGATGGTGGTTGAGGAAGAGGGGGAGGAGAAGACGTTTGAGACGGGGAAGACGAGGGAGACCTCTGAGAATTTAAGGGTTTGTGAGGCATTTAACCAGCAGTGGGTGGATGGGAATCTGAGGGTTTGGAGGGAGTTGGGATTTTTGAGTTGAATTGGGGTTGGCTTGGTGAGTATGTGAAGACAATGACATAGTTAAAGATGCACAGATTGTCATGCTGTGAGTGTCTAGGCAGAAGAGGAGAAATTACAAGCTTGCAAATGCTTTGTCCAAATAACACAATCACTAAGCATGCAAGTTTACTTATCATCATAACATTATTTCTTATTGTCAACATTTTCTTATCTTTCGACCGTTACTTTATATTATAAATATTAAACTTAATATAAACAAATTTATTATTTAAAAAACATTAAATATAAAGAAATTTGAAATTTAACCACGAATTTATATAATATATTTTTATTATTATTAAATATATATTAATAATATTTTTTATTTTTTAAATTTTTTAAATTTTTAAATTTATATATTATTTACGTTAATTTAGCCAATAATTATTTAATACTCTGAACATTGCTTTTCTTAATGTTTCAACTAAACTATTATAAAGTCAGTATTTCACAATATCAACACTAAAAATAGGACGGAAGCAATGCACACGCGATGAGAGACTACGAATAGAAAACCTTATATGTTTGTGCGGACTTTGCCCAAGAAGAAATTACACTCCAGCTTAAGCTTACACTTCGACAAGTCCAATATGCTTTTTCTCACCGACTTACTCCTCAACACCTCCGCGGGAGGAAAGCTTCATTAAACACCCCTCAAAGGAAGCACTTCATTGAATGGATTACATCCTCAAGCGCGAATCGACGTACACGATGGGCTAACATCCGATTTCTTCTTGGATGGAATTGCGGAGAGAAAGCTACACGAGCTACGTTTCAAAAAGAGGGCTATCTACGACGTATTGCTTGACGAAAGCCTCCTCGGACCTATAGGACAACATAAAGCAGATCGATTTGCTTGGGCTTGGGAGCATGTATTTTGGACAGATGAGCAATGGGATTTGATACTTTGGAGCGATGAATCTTGGGTAAACCCAGGCAAGCATACATGTCTAGCATACAAAAGACATGGGTTACAAGAAAAATATGGGAAGAAAAGGTATTCCGCGCTGATTGTGTTGAAGCCCGATATCAAAGGAAGATTGGATGGATGTTTTGGAGATGTATAAGTGGTAAATATGGGAGGCATAAACGGCTCTTTTGGGGGAAGGATTAAGATTGAAGATAAATGCAGGCTCTTGTAGTGGGATTATTCTACCGATTGTATAAGCTATCCTACTTCACTACCCGGAGCTTCTCTTCCAGCAAGATAATCCAAAAGAGTACTGCAAAGGGGCACTCTGCAGCGTTTACAAAAGAATTCTTTCAAGCTATTGGCCTTAGTCCTATCTTTGGGGCTGCTAATCCACTTGACTTGAACCCAATTGAGACACTTTGGGATGAATTGAAGCATTATATTCAAAATAACTACTCCAAGATGCATAACTCTTATCCTGGGCTTAGAAGAGTTGTTCAAGAAGCCTGGGAATCAATAATATATGCGAGAATTCAAGATTTGATTCAAGAAATGGGTGATCGATGTATTGCAGTGATTTTAGCAGATGGAGGCCGTACAAAAGACTAGGGATGTAGTAAATAGCATTACCAGTCATTTGGGACGCATTGGCAATAAATCAACATCAATTCAGCGATGTACAAAGTAGGTAATTCATTGAATTCTCTACCGTGTGATCATAATGTGACTCATATACTCACTGTGAGCACAGACACGCATTTATTGAAGAATTCGCGCAAAAAACTTCATCAATATCATAAAAATCCCGCTGAGTCCCTTTTCCCCAGACCGTTATCTTCATAGTGTCAATTTGCTCAGTACCAGAGCTTGCTTGCATGTACGCCCCTTTCCCCCAACCCCTCCATCCCTTAGGCCGTTCATGTCGTCATCAAAAACAAATAAAAGAAACGCATCCCGTCGAATGTCCTAGAACTACAACCCCAGAGTATGTAGCTACACTGGTAGCATGATACTCCTCCGGTAGCCAAAGGGTATTCTTCCCCGTTGTCTTCAGCCAATCTTTAGCCACAAAAGCCGTGAAATCGGGTTTTTGCAAAACGAGTGAATTCGCAGGAGAAACAGGGGAAAATAAATCGAGGTCCAACAAGCCTCTGTCTGTCTCAATGTAACGTCCACAGCTGGAGAAACATACGGACCGAAAAGCTGTCCCAGTCAAAAGCACACTTTTCACTAATTCTGTTTCCGCGTCCCAGATTCTGACAGTCTCGTCATCGGAACAAGAGACCACCAGCTTATTGTCTGGCGAAATAGCGGCGGAGTTGACCGGTAAGAGATGGCCTTTGAGAATACCACGCGCTGATCCTGCTGTTTTCCAGAGCCTGATGGTTGTGTCTGCTGAGCCAGAGACCAGGAGTTCTCCATCGGTTGAAAAAGCGATCGAGTTCACTGTGTCTGAATGACCAGTGAGGAACCGAGAACACACTCTTGTAGACACATCCCACAAGCCGACCTTCATATCGGCTGAGCATGATGCGACCATGTTGTCGTCTGCTGGTGAAAATGCGATATCATTGACCGTATCAGAATGGCCTTCAAGCTTGCTGCATAAAGCACCAGTACCTGCGTGCCAGATGATTGCGGTTTTATCTGCAGAACACGAAGCGAGGAACTCGCCGTCTGATGAAAATCGAACGTTGCGGATGTTGTCGGAATGGCCTTCGAGTATGTGCCATACTGTTCCGGTTGCAGCGTTCCATACTCTTACCGTCTTGTCAGACGAGGCAGACGCAATTAGATGCGAGTCTGGCGAAAATGTGAGGCAGTTGATACCTCCCGAATGGCCTTGAAGGAGACCGCGAGCTAATCCATCCTTGGTCCATAAGTCGACACCCCCCCATTCCGGCCACCCCCTGGTTGTGTCACAGCGCCGGCTGTTACGGATCACCTGAGCCCATCGCCTGAGCCAATCGCCTGTCCTAATCGCCTGTGACAGAGGCCAGGCCGGGAATGGTGGCGTTCTCGAGCTTTAAGCCTACTAGGGCTTAGCTCTTCACCTAATATCCTCTTACTTCTGGCATATATATGTATATAGATCTCTCCTTCTCTCTTTTCTTCTCTCTTTAGCTTTAGATTCTAAATGAATAGCCCGACGTTGCGTCGCCACCTCACACCATCGTCACAGTGCTGTCACAGTATTTAATTAGTTTTTTCAAAGTAAATAAAAATGCAAACGAGAAGCGAACAAGGATTTAATAGAAATAAAGCTGCCAGCAACTAGGGGCAATAACGGGGGGCAGGGACTAGGAGTAGACAAGGTTCATGACAGGCCACTAGAGTTCGGGAGTAGCGAGAACCAAAGCGATTCAGTGCAGTCGCCAATCACCAATGCAACCTGGGACAAGCTCTGTGCTCATCCCTAAGAGTGGATACTGTCGTGGAGGGCATCGCTCGGTGTAGGGATGCCACAAAGGGTATATCGAGAGAATATTATTCAAAAATCCTGACCCATTCGGGCCTCGGTCACTGCTGACTTACGAGACACCCCAGACTCATGAAACACGATCTTCTCGTAGTTGCTCAGGATGCACGGAAAGCATGCAAAACTTCGTATCCCGCATCAGATCCTATGAATATACTGCCTTCCTCAAGGCGGGTACGAGATGTCTGGATTCTCGTGTGAGCAAGATGTTCGTCAAGTCCTGCCGTTGTTTAGTCGTAGTTCATCTCATAGAGCCATGTGCACTCCCGATCGGCACATGGTGGCGTCGGCATTCAGGAAGATTTGACCTCCACCGTTCGTCGTTGAGTGATGGTGGTTCTTGCGCGGGCAAGGCATTACTGGTTGTGTGTTCTATGTCGCCTTTCGTTGACACGAGACCCAGTTCGGAGAGAGTAAGTGTGCGATCAAAGGAGTTGGAGTTGATATTTCTGTAAAGGAAAAGAGGTGATGGCGAGAAAATAAAATTAAGTTCGCGGTTACGGCATACTCTGGTAGTTCTTGAGCATTTTGCAGTTTTTCACAGATAGTCCTGGGATGGGTGGCACGATAGATTCACGTAATATGAGCAAATGTGGAATTTGAGATGATTTCCACTAGTTGGGGAAGGCACCTCTACATTCGGCTGTCAATGTCCCAAGATTCGAACCCTTCACCTCCCACCCCGAGATGGGCTTGTTGGACAACGTATTTCTTCATACAAGATACCAATAGCATCATGACAATCAGTATCTCAATGCAAAGCAACCTTTTTGTCAGGTCTTGGATGTTCGGAATATCGAGCGGCCAATGCTCAAAAGCGAAACTTCCATAGCCAAGTGAATGTCCGTGGCAACCTAGAATTAGTCCACAAAGCTCCCAAGGAGTACATTGATGCTTCTGAAACAGCTATGGCAAAGTACGAGTACTTATTCCGTTCAGAAGTTCTCAAAGATACTCAGTACTCAGGGGCTCGACGAATTTACACGCTCGTGACTGCGCGCTCAAAACATGCACACAACTTGAAAGAGTCCAGTCTACCAGCGAAGTAGACACGAGTAGCCTGTTTAGACGAGTCCACCTGAGTAATTCACGAAGGTCTTTCACCATGACTTGAAGCATCGATGATTGCATGTTCCCCATCTCTCGCTCAATATCGGCAGGTTTCCCAGGCCGATACGTCCATTCAACTCTTTGCGAGAAAGCATCAACAGTTCATCACTTAGTGCTTTGAGGTACACTGCTCGCGTTCTTGCCTCCAGAATCCAGAAGTTCAGTGCTGTTTATTACAGTTTTTGGTTTCCCGCCTTGGTAGAAATCTCGGACAGCGTGATAAAGCTCTTCATCCGAACTCAGCAACGCAAAAACCCGCTGATCCTCGAGCTCATATCGTAGATAATCTCGCGAAAGACGGTCCCAATTCTGGATATTTCTGAAAACGAACGTTTTGCGAACATCACGTGAGTCGATGCTAATGCGATCCGTGTCGGTATATTCAAGCAGAGTAAGAATCTTATTGAGGTAGTTTCGAAGATAAAGGCAAGGACGATATATTGCCGACATCAAACGCTCCTCAGGCACTTCTAGATCCTTGAGTGCTTTCTCCTTCTTCACTAGACCAGAGCATGCCAGGCTTAGTGCACTCTTTCCTTCCTTTGTTCTCGCACTCGTGTCGGCTCCCGCTTTCAGCAGTCGTTTCAAAATTATCGTTGTTGCTGGCCGCTGGGAGATACAGGCAAGATGCAAAGGCGTCTCCAGCCAGGGTTGTGATCTTGCTTCAATGTCGACTCCATGAATCAACAATAACTCCGTGGTTGCCAAATGACTCCAGTAAGTTGCCCTGTGCAGGATGGTCCCCTCCTTCTCAAGGTTCGCTTCTGGGTCTGCTCCCAACTTCAGCAGACAATCTACCATGTCCAAGACACCATTTGCGTCTACGAAGCTATTTTCGAAATCGATAGCGTGCATGACCGTTCTTCCCTTCAGGTCTAGTGCTTCGAGCTGGCCGCCTTTACGAACCAAGGCCTCGACGACTACAATTTTGTCTTCTCGTGCAAAAATTCGTTCTTGTACGGCAACGTGAAGTGCAGATTGTCCGAACTCGTTGACTGCCTGAACGTCGGCCTCATTTTCCAGAAGTCGATTGACTTCCGCGAGGTCTTTTTTTGCAAGGGCAGAAAATATAGCTTCTTCGGCATCGTCTTCTAGATTGCGCAAGATCTCTGCTAGTTCTGCAAACAGGTCGTTTGCCTCTTGGTCCAGATCCGAGATCTCTGAGGTAGATCGATTGGTGGGATTCCTGAGCATTCGTCCTATGTTTTTCATGAGATCTGTAAGACGCTCCAGAGTCGTCTTGACCCGTTTTTTCGATGACTCCCCGGCTGCGGAGTCTGCTATTACGGTTCTGATCTCATCTAGAGCGGACCGAATGTCACTAGTGTCCTGGGACTTAGCACGCCCTAGGAGGATCGATTCAGGCGCAACCTCGCGTTGTTTCCCCTTGTCTTCCTTCTTCCCATGCTGTAGTGTAGCTTCATCGACCTCGTTGCTCGGGCCAGCGTTCCCACTTCCGGGCGATTCCGAATCTTCTTGTTCAACAACTGCCAGATTTTTGGCAGTCAATGCACCAAGCGCGAAAGGCTCGCGCTCACGATCGACCAAGGGTTGATTTGAGCGTATCAGGCTGGCTGCCGAGCCTGAATGTAGCGATTCGGCAATCGAGGAGGCTGCAGCGAGTCCGTTTCGAATAATAGCTCTGCCTTCAGGACTTCGAAGTCTTTCTCGTCTCGCAGATGAATCCGGGCTTCCTCGTCAGCTTAAATTCTCAAAGTGGGATAGATACTCACAGATGCAAAGCTTGGAGGTGTAGCGACAGGGCTGCAACTTGATGATCGAGGCGCACCGCCTCCCACAAGTTAGCACTATAGAAGCTGAAAAACAGTGTAAGAACTCTCGGGGTTAAGGGCTGTCTTAGCAGTTGCATCCGTTTGTTATTCCGTTTGCTGCTCCTAAGACAACCCTCACCCCTGGGAATTTTCATACAAAAAAGTAGCATTTTGGATGGGAATAAGTGGCTTACGTATTGATCCATCTGATCCTGTTCCCAGAGAAACTTGACCCTATCCCAGAACTTCCATCGTGTCGAGCCTCTAGAGCGCTCTCCAAGTACCTCTCGCACACCCTCCAGCATTGAATGAATGATGATCCCACAAGCTTCCAACGAATCACGGACACTCTTTCTCTCCTTTCTGCCCAAGTGGGATCCATTCCGGGCGAGCCATCTCTGGATGCTGCTCACTGCACTTCGCACTGCTGCTGTCTGGGTTATAAGAGCGTGTGAATTGATCTGGACGTCTTTATATCGAGTTTTTAAGTCGTTGAGACCTTTGATGAATCCCGTCGCACTAGATCCAATCGCCACGCAAGTTCCCACGAGACCAGCAATGCTTGCAGGATCCATACTGACTGTGAGAACGAGGGACTTTGTTGCCACTCCAAATGTCCCCCGTCTAGAAGATAGGTAGAATTGGAAGGAGACTGGTGCGAAATTTCAACAGTCCATAGCCATGTAGAACATGTTTTGCTAGCCTAACGAGAGTGTTGCCAGTATCCCAGCGTGCTGCAACAACTAAAATTGTGTACAGGAACAATATAAACAAAATACATCGGGGAATTATCGAGAATATATATCAGGCCCCGCCAGCCTGATGAATTGGCAGCTTGAAGGATCATTTTGAACGAGGCTGGGTACGTAGCCTCACGCTTGTAACTGGGCGCAGGGCATACATGTCGTTGACAAAAAAGGAAATATTATCCGTTCAACGATGTAACTCAGCTGTGGGGTTGTATCGAGCTCTGGCCGCAAGAAGCAAGCATTACGGAGAACGCGGTCAAAAGTATGGCAAGTACAGGCGGGTGCCTTGTAAGGTCTTAAGTCAAGCCCTGTAAGCTGCTTTGATTGGCTCGTTTCGTAATTGACCTGTAATTGCCCCGTATTTATACCCTAACAGCGATCATTTTCAGGTCTTGAGAGCCTGTCACGATAGCGAAGACCCACTAAATTGGGCGGATTTACAGTGATCTGTGTGGACAGAGCCTTCAGGGCTGTTACGGATCACCTGGATCACCCTGATCTGAATCGCCTGCCCAATCGCCTGCAGTAATCGCCTGCAGTAATCGCCTGCCCTAATCGCTTGTGACATGGATCGCGTGAGCACTTGGGTAGCCTCCACGTGATCCTCCCTGAGAACGAATCGGGCTTAGGGCTTAGGCATGTTTCACTCTGGCGTATATAAGCTCTGGCGCTCCCACTCCCTTCTTCCTTCCTTACCTTTAGATTCTAAGAGATAGCCGAATCGATTCTTCGTCTACGTACTGAGCTTCCCACCGTGCTGTCACATAAACGGTATTTATGAGCAAAACGCTATTTCCCCGTGAATTTGAAAAATAAATGACTTTCTCCGGTACCAATGGAACTACATAGGTACAATACATATTGCGGGAGCCCTTTGTTGAGCTTCGCAATAGGTCCGGCAAGGAGATTGGAACCACCACCCTGTGAGCATTGTATCGGCTCCGAGAATCATGTATTGACCAAAGAACAATCTACGTTATCAAATTCCCTGTCTCATCTGATATACTTTGAGATTGCTCGTCCTTCATTCAGAGACTCGACAAAACCATCATCTGCTACTTCCAACACTCCTGCTTCTTGCTATCTGTCTACGACATCCTCCGCCGCACACCCAACAGCTGAATTGAAGTCGGGAAGGAGTAGATAAAGAGCAAATATTCTCCAATATCAGTGTTCGTAGCTGTGTTCTCCTGCGAAAACACTTCAAACGTTTGACTAGAGGTGAGCCATCGCTCATTGACATCGTCCCACGAGCGCGTGAGCAATGGCCACCACATTCACAAGGCGCCTTCCATTCACAGCATACCATATAATCACATCACTTCTCTCACTTACGGTAAATATAGATTCACTCGTATTCACTCTACAAGATATCACAAGGGAAGGAATCAAACTCAGTAAGCAAATAGGTATCATTCTTTGTTGGACTGCTCGTCCTGTATCATCCTGCATCTCACGATCATTTGTTCTCTCTCTCATATTCACCCATATCCCCGAGCACCAGTAAAACCTCGCTGCTTATAGACAATACAGTCCAAGGGAAAAAGGTCTACTCTCACCACTCCACCTCATCATCGCGAACCTCCTCATCCTCCTGCTCCACTGCCTTCACGCCACCAAACCCCAAGAAGGACTTCATCCCCTTCCAGATCTTCAAACCCCTCCGATATCCAGCCGCTACCCCCGATCCACCCACCATATCCAGCGCCACAAACTTGCCCTCCACCCTCCTCTTCGCAATCCACGCAGCCTTAGCCGGAAATCGCGCCTCAATCAACTCCTCAGCTTTCGCCTCCCGACCCGCAGTCTCAGCGCGGCGGATCCGGTTATCGTATGGAGCCTCCCAGATCCCGTCCATGGTGATGAACTCCAGCGCCGCTAAATTCTCATCTTTCTCGACCTCGACGGTGCGTTTGACGTATTGTCTCGTCCAAAGGTAGTCAAAGGAACTGCTACGATAGCGAACGTCGCTCAGCGAGTAGATGGTCTTCATTCGTGAGCGGAGGCCTTGGTATGGATCCTTGGCTTTGTGGCTCCGGTAGTGTTTGTTGTTCTGGATGAGGAGGGGAGCGTGTTCCAGGATCCAGGGGTGTGCGAGGATGGTCGTGAGTAGCGGTCCCACGATGCGGAGTTCTGCTGGGCCGGAGTTGGGGACGGTGTTGGTGTAGCTGATTGAGGTACTATCTTGATGGCGGATCATCGAATCTTCGAGGCGGGCTCTGAGATCGAGTGATGCGAGGGCATATTGCAGTCTCTCAATGTAGCCTGACTTCTTCTTTGCGCGCTTTGCTTCGAAGTGTGCGATTTCGTACTCCGCTGCCTCGTTTTCTTCGAGTTGGCGGGCGAAGCGGGTGAGTTGTTGGACTCTGATGGCGATGAGTTTCTTTAGGGTGTTGAGTTTGCTGACTGCTTCGTATCTGTCGAATGTCAAGGCGGCGGGTGTGGGTTTGTTGTTCTCGAAGAGATCTTCTGCGCAGTCATCCTCGTCGTTCTCTGGGAGGCTTGATACAGAGGAGGAGACTGAGATATCGTCGAAGACGGCTTCATCGAGCATGTCTGGGGTGGTGGCTCTTGAAATGTTTTCCGTGGCTTCGGTTGGCTGATAATCTGCGGCGGTGGTGTTAATTTGTGATTGAGAGGAGGCGGTAACGCTCTCCTCTTCTTTCTCGGATGGGACGTCGCCCAAGGTATCGTCAAGTGGCGATTCGTCGGCGAAGGTTTGGGAGATGGAGAGTTGAGAACCTTCTCCATTGTCAAGTGCAACTGGGAAGAAGGGACCTTCTGCTGAGTCTTCTTCTGTGGATGACTCGGCCTCCTCCTCTTCATCGTCCATGGCCTCAATAGCGGCGTATTGTCTCCTACGCTCCTCGCAATCTCTCTCATAGTCCCGAGCCTGGACTTGCTCCCAATATTCCTCTGCCTCCATTCTCGAGATTCTCTCGTCGAATGTTTCCATTGCCCTCAGCTGTTCTCTGGTTTCTGCGGCAGAAACCCGACGCTTTTCGAAATGCGCTGCCCACTCTGGGCCTTCGAAACAATAGTCTCTTTCTTCCAGTTCGCAGAGTTGGCCAGCTGGAGTTGTGAGACGAATGGTCGGAATGCCAGTCAGAGGAGGATTCAAGTTCTTCTTCGACATGGCCATCGGGCGGACGAGCCAGGAACACTTGTGGTTCACAGGGTTGAAAGTCACGGGTGCCATCTGTTGTGCGATCCATTCGGGGCTAAATGTCTGCAGTCGTAGGAATCTGAATCGAAGATGCTCGAGGTCGTTGCGAAGTGTATCGTACACGTGATTGACGAGATATTCGAATTTTTCCTCCGCAGTCTCGGATTGCTGCGTCGTGGAGAATGAGAGCTCTTCATCGTCGTCTTCCTCTTCATCGGCCCAATTGAAGTTGTCTGGCTTGAGCATCTCGGCGACAGAAGTTTCGTCAAGCATAGTTGCGGTTTGTTGTGTTGTGGAGATGGTTTTCGGAAGCGGAAATGAGTATAGATGCTCATCTTCATCGTCATCGTCGTCATCGTCGGAAATCTCATCTTCAATGTAGAAGCGAGATGTGCTGTTACTCTTGTGGAGTTGGGTTTCTTGCTCGGATGTATCTGAGCAAGTCTCTTCATCGGAATCGTATCCTGCGGGCCAGAATGCGCTTCCTTGAACGGCATCCTTCAGGGGCTTCAATTCCTCAAGGCTTCTGCCCTCCTTATTCAATAGGTACTCGAGGGCCTCGGTGATGTCCCTTTTCTCGTCAGGCTCATATATTTCCTCGAGATCCTGCTTCATTGCCTCCAAGACTTTGTCAGTCTGGATGGAATCGATAACCCATTGTTGATTATAGCTTTCCATCTTGTCGATTTGGATTCTGTATTTTCGACGAAGGCTTCCCACCTCGTTCTGGTCCTCTCTCGATAAGCGATTCGTATCGTTTACGAATTTTTGCGCAAATTTCATCTCTTGCTCCAAGATGCGGGTTTTGCGATAGCTTTTGGCGCGGTGTCGAATCCAGGAATCCGAGGCGTTTCCCAAAGCTGGCGAAAAGTATGGAGAGAAGCGTTTATTGTACTGCGTTAAATTTCGAAGCACTTGGAGGTGTGCGTTTGGCGATTGTCGTTTGGGCTGGAAGACCGAGCTGGTCATAACATATGAAGGCGAAGCCATTGTGAAGCGAGGTGTGATCACGTGCTCTGAAAGGGGTATTGGGTTTTCAAGAGCTAACCACATCATTGTTAGCATTTCCGCTATCATAGGGTTCCATTCTCATGGGACTACAACTTACATTGTCCAGGAGTTTCTCTTGCTTTCCGCACAAACTTCAAATTCGAAAATCTCCGTCGATGGAAATAGGCGTGTGCTCTTGATTTGAAGGATTGTTGGCAGCGTTTGAATGTTGTTCTGATGTTCGTTGATTGTCGTTGGGAGTTGTTCGTATTTGAACTATCGACTGGCTTCATTGAGAAGGTTCGACTTCTCAAAAGATTTGCAGCGAAGGTACTTACACAATCTCCAGGAGTGTGTTGGGATGAGTAGAAAGTAGGAATTACAAGCAGTTCTGAGTAGTATGCCGGATGCAGAATTTGCTTGTGAAAAGAGTTGTATAGAATCGAATAGAGAAACCAGTTCTCGGAAGGTGATTGAATAAGCCAGTGTTTGTTGTCGTTTTGAGAGATTTGTGAGCAAGTTGTGGTGGATGAGGAGGGAAGGGAGTGAGCTGCCATTTTTGAGTGTGTGAAGAGCTATCGACTTAGTCTAGATAACAATAGATGACTCTGGCTTTATGCATTATTTGGTTAGAATAGTCTCGTATGACTCCTATTATTCTCTGGGCCCGATGCTGCTTATGGGTTAAGGCCGAAGTATCACTGTCGAACCAAAGACGAAACGGGTAAAACCTCACCATATCACACAAACATTAAAGGGAGAGAGGTTTTGCAAAATCATTTCCATTCATGCCACTCCTTGAGAATTTGTCTCATTCCGGAAGTTGAATGTCGCTCTTCCGAGTCCCAATCGTGTTGGACAATCATGATATGTGGGCGGATCTAGTTTGGGACGAAGGCGGAAGTACCCGTATGGCAGGTGTGGTGCGATGCGATGGGACTAACCCAAATCTCGCTACCTTTATCAAAAGAACTCTCGAATTTGACAATGCAGATTCCTCGTCCACTCCGCACTCAATTGCCTTGCAAGCACCTAAACAGCATTAGACTTGTGTGCAATTAAGGAGAGAGCCAGTCAATACCCAAGATAGTCTTCTTTGATGCTAGCAATGGCATACATGCCGCCAACCTCTGCTCTCGTACCAATCAATTTAACACGAACATGAGTGCCGACTTCGATGACCGAGTCCTCATTGTTTGTGAATTGAGGTGGAGTAGCATTGGGATCAAACTTGATATCAGGGGGAATGAGCTGGGTCTTTATCAGCATTTTATCTTCAGTTTTGAGGGATACTGACATGCGCAGAGACAAAGAGTGGAAGGGGACCAGCATCAGCAAAGAAGCCAACCTGGTTGACTGAAGTGACAATCGCATCGACCTAGATGACTTGTTAGTCCGGTTTGAAAATGCATTCCTAGCAATTTCTCACAGTCTCTCCCTTGAATGGTCTCCAGACAACAGCGCGATATCCAACCGTGAACTCCGCCAATCCGCTACCTGGAAGGATACGTCCTTCAGAGATATTAAAGGCATCCATGATTGTGATAATAAAGTATCGGCCCGTGCAAGTTCCTTCTACATCCTTCAAAAGCTTGCCTGTCACAAGTTCATGCATATTCCGACCAAAGTATGATGGATGCAGGGTGACCTGACGCTCAAGATTGTATAGGAAGAACATGTTGTCCAGAATGCCAGTAGTGACTATGGGAATGTATGCTTTGAGTTGGTGGAGAATCTCAAAGAGGGAGCGGTTCGCACAAGAAGGAGTCGAGGCAAAAATAAGCCGTCTATCGAAGGCGATCGAAAGTGAACTCTTCCACCAGCAACCTCAGAACGCGTTATTCTAGACCCATGAATATAATGCTCCTGATCGCAAGACCTGCTCTGACCCTGTAGATATAATGCGCTTGACTACTGACGAAGTCTGTCCTTGTCAGTTCAGAGCGCGCAGGAGCCCCAGATAGCGAAAATGACCTACACTGCTCAAATGAATGGCGGGGCAAAGACTGAACGCTCTGGCACTTCTCTGAGATCGTCACAGAGAGCGCACAAAGGTAGTCGATGCTTCGTTGGGTCTATGGACGAGGTATATGGACCTGGTCGCCGACGAGTCAAAGGGATGTTGTTGCGACGCGCTTTGGTCAAGAATTCCCGGGAGATTTTATCGTTAGTGATGGAAATTTCGCCGCCGCTAAGTAGCCTCAGGCATGCAGCGGTAGCATTTCATGAGCACGGCAACCGGAAGAACCTAGGCAAAAGCGTTGCAAGCACATGCATTGCAGCAAATGCGGTGACACAATCGGGAAATAATCCAAGAAGCGTCATGAATGAATGATACGATCAACATCCGCAACATCCAAGGACTTCCATCTCGCCGTCTACACACTTCCTTTGATACTCGCAGAGATCATAAAAGCTGCCCGGTCACGCCAGTAATGATCGTACGGCAAGCACGGTCTTCATAGACTCTCTCCACCTTTCATCTCGTCTCGTCTACCCCGTACGATCCTCAACCCCTCGTCAAGAAACTCAACACGTCGACACCTTTCACTCTTCCCTGTATTGAGAATGTCTCTCGATCTGGAAAAGCAGTTGTGCTTCGTAAGACAACTTCACCTATGCACGAATCTGGCATCCGCTGATGGCATATAGTATGGCGCATACCACCACAACACCGTCAATATTGGCATTCATATGGCATGCGTGCCTTTGATTCTAGCGACCAGCTTACTCCTTGTACGCCGCCATGCATAGCACCTCAAAGGGATCTTGCTGATGATTATTTCCAGGCAACAAACTCTCCCAATTTGATCCCTCTGCCAGAATGGCTTACGATCCCTTACCTACCTCCCAACGCCGGCACTATCGGCGCCGTTCTCTACAGTGGATTCTACATGCTTCTTGAGCCTTTCGCAGGAACGTGTCTCCTTCCTATTATCATCTCCTGGACTGCATATGCCAATCACCTCACTACGGCACACACATCAAGTGCCAATCAATTCGCGATCGCGGTCTTTATTGTCTCCTGGATCTTACAATTTGTTGGGCATGGTGTCTACGAAGGAAGAGCCCCAGCACTTCTCGATAATCTCCTACAAGCTTTGGTCTTGGCACCCTTCTTTGTCTTCATGGAGTTCTTATTCAAGGTCTTTGGGTACAGACCCGAGCTTCAGAAGAGGGTTAATCTCGCGGTGGAGAAGGAGATCAAGAAGTTCAAGGCCGAGAAGCCTAACGGAGCAGTCAAGAACGGCAAAGCACAGTAAAGAACCACGAGCATATGCGAACTCAGATGAACACGAAGATGATATGGAATAAAGGCACTGCGATGGCTGAGTCGGGGAAGAGAGAATGGATATTATTGCAGACGGACATTTGGTTAGAATACCAAAAGAGAGGAGCGGAACAGGAGACTCGATGGAGCAGCAACCGCTACAATTTGAAGAGCATGGAATGGTGCAAGGCGCTTGTATTGTCCTTCACAGCCGTAATACTCAACTCCCCACCAAGCACTATGATATTATTTTTGCGACGACTTTCTTTCATCCGATGCTTTGCGGTAGTGAGCGTGATGATATTGTGTTCATAGTTGGGAAGAGGCAAATATTCAGATTCGTCCTAATCCGAAGAAGTTCACCAGTTCAGGTTGTTCGGTCACTGAGTCATCCTTGATTTCAAAATTATGTTCCGTTGTGCATGGCTAAGCGGCCAAGGCCAAGCAGCAGTGCAACGCTTTTATGCCTTCATTCACGTTTCAAAGGGAGAGCAGAATTACTTGAATCCTTCATTGCACAATATACATACGACGGTTTCAAACCTCATGGCGAAAATATGGTACTTGTCCTCCTTAAACAGAAGTATCATTGGAAGCCAACGATGCAGGAGGAACACCAGGTACTGCCTGAAGAGTCATGATTGCACTCCGAATGTTAATAACATTAGGTTGCAGACCAGCTGCTATCATGTTCTGCCTATCGGCAACCATACCATTACGATGGGAAGTGCCGCTTGTGCCGAAGTCCAAAAAACATTCGCGAGCGCAGTCGTTGTTTCCACAGTCTGGCTAGCTTTCGTCGCAGCCACAGCCGGTATTACGGTGGCGGCATTGGCCGCTGCCCACGCTCCGATTTGAGCAGAGAGGATGTCGAAGTTGTAATATATGGTGCCTTCAAAATTTACGCTTCCGAACTCTGCAGGGCCATTGGTTGAATTAGCGTTCACCCAATTAACCCAGTCGGTTTGAACTCCTTGAAGAAGGCTGAACGCTGTGTTATCTGCTGCGAAGATAGTCTGGATCTGTGTCGTGGTGGGCGATGGCGCTAGTGATGATATTTGGTTTATAAGGTACTTTGCGCTTGAGGAAATTGCAGAAGCTACGCCCTGAAATAGTGTTGTTGTTTGACTGGCAACGTACTTTGCGCCTGAGGAAATTGTTGAAGCTACACCCTGAAACAGTGATGATGTTTGGCTTAGAGCAGACTGTAGGCCTGACACAACTTTGGCGGCCAAGTGATGCAAAAAGGCTACCATGTCTTGTTCGAAGGTAGCTGGGAAAGTCTCGGTGTGTGTTAGCACTAGACTTAAATGGGGAGTTTTGACTTGCTTGTTGAGGTTATTTTAGCGGACAAGTTTTGGCTTAGGTGCAGGACAGCTTCGGTATACAGAGCAAAGAATCCTCGTTGCAGTCGATCCGAAAACTTTCACGAAGTAAGCGTAGCCTGTGAGATATGTCCGCAAGTTGGCTTGAGATTTGAGGAATGTATACTGCATTACGTTCACGCATCTGAATGGGGGTAGATTTCGAGGAATGTGGCCTGATAACTCTAAGCAAAGGAACGCACCGTTACCCGTTGCCGGTCCTTCTAGCCCTTGGCATTCAACCGTCCGAAAAGAGTCGAAGACTGAGACATCTAATAAAATACGCTTTGTTCAAATTAGTCAGTCAAAGAAATAGATCAACGGGTCACAATGCGAATTCAAGATATGGAACAAAGGATTTCTTTGTGTTATGCGGATATGCAAATGTTTCATTATGTTACTAAATTGAGAACGTTCGTGCTTCTATACTTGCTTTCTCAGACATTAGGTGTGTTATTTTCAGTATCTGTAGCGTGGTTCCGGCATCGGCTCTTGCTTCCACTCCGCCAGGGAGTCGTCAAGCATGTCGTAGAGTTCGCCGTTCATGATTGATGCACTGCTTCTTTGAAGTTTGGGCTTTGGTTTGCTTCTGGGGCTTACTGGCGAGACTGGAGATGGTGGAGCTCTTGGACCTCTCGAGCCTCTTGAAGAAGGTAGCGAGACGTTAGTGTTCACCATAAGTCGACTAGAGTCTGATCGAGAGGCAAGTGGCTTTCTTGGGATTTGGCCAGGATATTTGGTTGCTAGCGGACGCACTGGTAGTGGCTTATCCGGCGCTGGTGGGATTCTACCGTGCGCTCCGAGCTTCACATCTTGCATTTTACGCCAGACTGTGTAGTCGATCCCTAGCTCCTCGAAGTGTGGTTGCTTTTGGGCCGGAGGAGGGGCGGAGGCCAAGATGTTGGGATTTGCACCGGAAGCGTTCACATAGGAAGAGACGAGCTTGGGCTCAAGGTCCGCAGATCCTTGTCGCCTTCTGTCCCAGCCATATGTGTTTGCAGCTACCTTGGCATCCTCTCGAACCTTTTCCATGCTGGTCATGTAACTCAGCTCTGGAAATCGTTGCTCTCGAGTCGGCACTGGTGCCTTTCTTGGCTTGTCAGCAACAGTCTTCTTAGAAGGCGCCTGAGCACGATACCCATTGGCCTTCTCCAACTCCGCAAACTCGTCAATGCCTCGAGCACAGCAGAGTCCTTCGTTGGCAGCTCGACTCATCTGATCTGGCCACCTTCTCTCAGCCGTACACTTACTACACCTAAAAGCAGCTTTCCTATCCGAGCGCCTGCGCTCTTGTAGTCTCTGCTTCTCTCTCTCGTTGTGCGCATCCCGTGCAAACATGGCTCGTATCTCCGTCTCCCGGTCAACTCGTGCTCGTTCCTGTTGCTCGCGATCAACGCACTTGGGACACTTGCTGTAAACGGATCGCTTACCTGGTTTCTGCGTGCAGCGGACTGAGCGAGTAGAGGATGATGGGGCGCCACAGAGGAGTGACTTCCAGAACGATGGGTTGCGGTGCGATTTTTGTGCTTCGCGGACTCTTTGCTGGTATGCTTGGCAGGGAATATTTTCTTCGCTGCGGTGGTGGCAGAGGTAGGTGATGGTGGTGATACACATATTTGCTGCTGAACGGGCGTTGTTTAGTTGTTGTGTTTGGGGTTGAAAGACTTACGGTTGTTTGAGTGGTGTTTCTGGTTTTGGGTGGAAGGTTCTTGTGGTATGGATTTTTGAAGCGAGGGATTACAATGGGATTGTGCGAGTGCATATATGGTGTTTGGTGTGCATTGTTCTGGTTTTTGGGTGCTTTTGCTCTAGTAATCTTCATTGCGCTGAATATAAAGCGTTTGTTGAACAAGGTTATTAATAGATGTTCATCATTGTTCTATGTCAAAGGCCCTTTCTTCCTTTTGAGGAAGTGTTGTAGGACCTCTGCATGAAGGAATATTTCTTTGACATGGATCACAAAAGGATTGTCCTTGAACCAACAACGCCTTTGTGCTTGCAAGTTGTCAACGTTCTTGATGTCACGTGTCTGTCGAGCCTTTCCCACTTTGCTGGGTAGGCCTTGATACCTCGAATAAGAATTTCTGCTATGCTTCCCTTCTCTTCTGATCGTCTCCAGTCACAACATAACCACCAGTAGTGAGATATCTCAACGGCGCGCATACTAAAAGTTTGGTCTGCAATTGGACATACTACTGATCTACGGAGGGGCAAAGCCCTATTCAAGGACCTTTGAATCCGTCCAGAACTCTATCCACGCCGCTTCTCTTTGCACCTAACCAAACTGGTGGGCCAGGGATCGTATATGTCTTCAATTACAGTCAGTTATCTACCCTGTTTGCGAGAATAGGACTAATGACTTACCGTGAGGTTGCTGACGTTGGCCGCATACACGTCGATGTTGATCTCGGGTTCTGCCATCATCAGCTTTCTGTAACCGTATTCCGCTCTCACTATTCGGGCTTCTCACGATCCATGCTCCAAACGCCTGGGATTTTGGCATAATACTCCTTTTCCGGAAGTGCAGTCCCATTTCCAGTCACCACCAAATGCGCACACTCGGGATAGAATTGTGGCCTATTCGCGATATGCAACGCAATTATCTCATGCCGGATGATGTACTCTCCAGGCTTCAAATCCTGCGGAATCGTTTCGGTCCACAAATTGGGAGTTCCGTCCCAATTCTGGAATTCTCTCTGTCCCCACATTCCTGTCTGTATCGTACCCGATATCAAGCCTCGTTCTGCGATCTTGAACCAATTCGCAGTGGTAAGATTGAGTGTTGAGCACGAATCGCCGCAGTCTGTCATCCACAAGACCATGGGACCGACTGTGTGGAGCCAGTAGTAATATACTGCTGTGATGTTGTCGCCAGCAGTGATGGGAATCGAAGAAGGTGCTGGATCACCAGGGTAGTTGCATGGTAAGGACATATTGTCTGGTTGGAAGATGGGGTCTATTGTGATCCATTTCCTCCCTACAAGCCATGGCTGGCCGTCCTGATTTGCTGCTGGTGTGTCCGGTGAGTAGCTTGTGAGAAGTCAGCTCATGGCTTCTGCAGATGTCGCACGAATATGGAACGTTGAATGATGATGCTCTTACCCCCTGTACCAGATACAATCCACCGTGTAGTTGGATGTTCCTCCATGAGCTGAAACCAAGCCCAGAAGTATCGCGACAAACACGAACACTTGGATCATATTGGTGATAAGACGTACAGCAAGAATGATATCAACGTCAAGGAGAGAAGAAGAGATCCCACATCGCTTGCGAGAGTCTTGGTGTTCAATCTATCGGCGCCGCGTGGCGTGTTTGCCAGGATATCCTTCCATCTCAATCCAGCTGACACTTCACTTCCGTATCTCTTCCGAATCCAGCAGCGGATCTTCCAGAAAGACACTGAATGTAGTTTCATAAATACAAACACAATCTACGTTCTGCAGGGAACGTTCTCATAAGCTTCAGCCTCAAATGCTGGACTAGGGTTGTGTGGATCCCCACACTCGGCTAAATAGGGGCAAAGCTTAACTTTCGGCACATCGTTCTTCAGCCTGAGGAGTATATATGAGTTGATATAGGGACTTTCATCAGAAATTTTGACGAGGTGGAACAATGATGCCGCGTGGTATACAAAATGTTCTCGTCTCGCTCCCGAGTTTGGGATTGGGTGTCACCGATGTTCCTTGGCTTTGTTCCGATATTCATTTTTGAAACATGAAGCTTTTCAATCTGATTGCGAACTTGGCGGTGGGTGTTTCTGTCATCTCTGCGGCTGCTATCACTCAAGTATCTAATTATGGAGGAACTGCTACTTCGAAAGCTCAGATGTAAGTACATGAAGGGCCCCACATCTACCCTTTAGATTTTTCAAAACAACTGACATATCCTACACAGGTGGGTGTATGTCCCCGATACGGTCAAGTCAGACGCCCTCGTGGTAGTCATCCATTCTTGCCAATCAACAGCACAATCGTATTCCAGAAACTCGAAGATTCCGTGGATTGGAGGATGAGACAAAGGAGGATATATCACAGGCTGGCCTAGCAGCCCCAACAGCGGAACATGTTGGGATGTCTCAAGCAAATCCTCGCTTTCTCACAATGGCGGTGGAGATTCGAATGCGATTGCCAACATGATCACGTACGCTCTTGACAAATATATGCTCAATGCGACCCGGGTATTTGTTACTGGAGGATCATCTGGAGGTACGCGTCCTCCGCTAGCGATGAGATGAAATTTCTGATGATTGAATAGCAATGATGAGCAACGTTCTAGCAGCCACCTACCCTGAGATGATCTCCGCAGTGTCTCTCTACTCCGGCGTAGCAGCAGGATGTTTCGTCGGCAGCGGAGTCGATCAATGGAACAACGCCTGCTCGGGTGGCCAGTCTACAGCCACCCCAGAGAAGTGGGGAGATACGGCTCGAGCAATGTATCCAGGCTACAACGGCACTCGACCAAGAATGCAGATCTGGCACGGATCGGCTGACACTACTCTTGCTCCGCAGAATTATCAGGAAGAGTTGAAGCAATGGACGAACATCTTTGGGGTGAGTATGACGGCTACGGATGAGAAGAAGGATACGCCTGACAAGGGGTATACGATGAGTGATTATGGACCGAATGTCGAGGGGATTTATGCTCAGGGCGTGGGACATTCTGTGCCGAGTCATTTGGCGGCTAGCGAGGCGTGGTTTGCGTTGCCGTGATGTACTTGCGGATTGAGCTGTATTGATCTGTTGAAAGAGATTGAAATTGTACATATGGGATGTGTAACGAACGAAGAGCACTTTTCTCTGAAAGCCTAGACCACGTGATCGGTGCCCGTTAAACTGACTTCCCCGTTCGACTACCTAGGTAGGTATTTTCTTTAAACCTTAGCAGATTGCACTCCAATTGACGATAGTGAAGTTTGTTAACAGACAGAATGTTCTGAGTAGTGATCCTGTGTCGCGCAAAGAATATGACTTGGAAGCAAATATTGCGCGATCTGCGCTATTCGCGGGATTTGCGCTGTCATCGATAGAGACTATTAACAACAAATTTTCTTTACCTTCTTGAACCGAAGAAGAAAACTTTTCTCGATGTCGGAACTCGGGGTCCTTAGTGCTACAGCTTCATCTCTTCCTTTTTGTCTCGTGGTTCATACTAAGTCATTCATGATTAAGACTACCGAGTTGAGTCTCGCTGCAGACTTGGTGGTGAGTACAACAAATTGCTATTCATCTTTCTGTGACAATAAACAACTGCTTTCAACCTTGCTGGCTTGTCATTCAATTAAGTCCAAGGAACTAATAACACAGTTATCATTCTCTGACCACAGGAAAAAAGTGAAAGCAATTTTTGTGTGAAAAGTCTCGCCAGTGGGAGTGCTAGCACAAGCACATCTTCTGCCGCATGTTCAGTGTCCCGAGGATGGGTTTATTAGACCGATGATAGTAGCAAGTCTATGACCAGGTCTTGCAGTCTCTTCAAGAAACAAAAACAGTTTCTCTATCGAGAATCACGTGAAGTCCTCGCCCCTGAATCGTAAGCGAGCGGATGGTCGGCGGAGCATCTCTGATTCGCCACATGGATACCTCAGATGTCCATTACTATCATCTAAAATAATGAACGGTATACATATAGACGGAGTTAATGCTTTGTATCCGAAGCTAGACATAATGTATATTGTGAACGAAGTGGGCTGGAAATGGCTGATTTCCGGATTACTGCAACTTGCTGACATCTGAAATCATGATGGGTCTTTACCGTGTTCGGCGGAGAAAGTCTAAGATATAAGAATTTAGAAATAGAAAGCAAGACTCTTTACTTTCACTCTTAAGAAACTGCATCATCCTTGAGCTCATTCAGTCCCCTTTCTACTCAAACATGGCATCTCCTTCCAGATTTGGCCCGGACACTGTCTGGCTTGGTACGTCACGTGCTTCCACACCCTCTCACACTCCTTACTAACCTCTCTCAATAGTTACAGGAGCATCATCTGGACTCGGAGCCGCATTCGCAAAGCACATTCTCGTCCAAGGCCATAACATCGTAGCCACAGCACGCAACGTTTCCTCACTCTCCTACCTCCCAAGTTCGTCCAAGGTCCTCAAACTCTCCTTGGACGTGACATCAATTCCAAGCATCAAAGCTGCATTTGCTTCCGCTATCGAGACGTTCGGTCATGTCGATATTGTGGTCAACAATGCGGGGTACTTGTTGATTGGAGACACTGAGAACGCGACGGACGAGGAAGCGAGAAAGGAGATTGATACGAACTTTTGGGGAGTTGTGGATATGAGCAAAGAGGCTGTGAGGATTATGAGGGATGTCAACGGAAAGAGGAATGATGGAAAGCCAAAAGGAGGTCTGGTGATACAGGTCAGTAGTCTAGGAGGTCAGGTTGCCGTTGCTGGGAATGCATTTTACCATGCTAGGTTTGTCGATATCTCTCCATTCTCCTGTACTCGCTAATGCAAAACAGCAAATTTGGACTCGAAGGCTTCACAGAAGCGTTCTCCAAAGAAATACCGCCAGATTGGAATATCAATTTCTTGATCCTTGAACCTGGAGGAGTGAAGTCTAATTTCGGAACTTCGAGCTTGAAAATGATCGCCAGACATCCTGCCTATGCGGACGAAAAATACCCTACGAGGCAATTGGAGAAGTTCATGCTTGAGGGAGATATGGATAAGCAGACATCTGATCCTGCTAGGGTGGTTGAAGTAGTTTTTGATGTTGTGGCCGGAAAGGTAGGGAGTGGGGAGTTGCCATTGAGGTTGCCGCTTGGTGTGGATGGTCATGCATAGATTAAGGCCACGCTGCAGAGTAGATTGAAAGATATGGATGACTGGAAGGAAGTCAGTGAGAGTACGATGACGGAGGAGGTGAAGGAAGCTGTGAGGAAAGGAAATGAGAAGCTGGGATTGTAGGTGGTAACAAGAAACTTCAACGCAAAGACCAACAACAAACCTTCAATTAATTATGGCGAGTATGTACAGAATTTCCAAACTATCTACAATGCGGTGATGACTAACAGGCCCCGTCACTTCTCCCTTTCGATCCCTGCTTGCCCCTGCCTACGCCTTGACATTGAAAACTTGGTTCAAAGTTGCAGCGACGCAACCTGCTGGGCTTTCGCCATTAGACTCGAAAACGCCCCACTTCAGCTGCAGGATGTCTTCGCCATTCACAGTCCCATTGCAAGCAAAGAAGTGCTCCAAAGCAGCATCCATGGGAGCAGCAAGAGTTCCATCGTTCAAAATGCTGAATCCTTCTTTTCCACCAGCATAAATAGCAGTCACCGGGACAGTGACACCATAGTTGTCTCCGACGTTCGTAAAATACATGCCGTATGAGCTTGGGAGGTTGGGATCACTGAGGTCAAAATCGAGTATCGTGCCGTTGAAGTACGCTGGTGTGCCTGGATAGGCAGATGGTCGTTGGAAAACCAAGTCGAGGTTTCCGAGAGTGCCAGATTGCACTGCGTTGAGTGAGAGGGCGGGGTAGCCTTCAGCTTGGAGCGAGAATGCGAATTTTGTCTTGGAGTATTCGCGTTTGCTTGATGGGAGGGCGCTGCTCAAGGCCGCGAGACCAAGAAAGATGGTTGACAGGGTGAAGGAGACCATGTTGCAAAATCTGTATGAACTTGGTTGGATAGAAAGTAATGAGATCTGGTATTCTTTTAAATCTTTGACTTAGATGTGGTAGCGAGAGTATGTGAATGGTTGCTGCTGAATGAGATCTGTTGTGTCGAGGAAAGAGCGAGGCTTTATACCTCCCATCTCGGAGTGTTTCTTTCCGTTCTCAACGTACATTTTCACGATGCCTTGATTGTTGGTTTCCCAATCGGGAATGCAGCTGCGAGAATGAAAACGGTTGTGACAACGTCATGTAGATCTTGAGGCAAAAGAAACCTAAGATCCGACAGCCGCAGAGCCTCAACTTCCCTTCTTGGAATACTTCCCCAGACTTCACGTATTATTTTGAGAAATGACGGTCATATTATGTGCGTTGTCAAAAATAGATTTAAGCTTAGATGGGAAAGATTGCGAGTTTGACGTACATTACGAAGAGACTAAGAGCGCCAAGACATCGAGTGCCGACTCCTATTCCAAAACGGGAATGCCGAACAAGTCCCCGTAACTCTCTGAAATTCGAATTGAAGCGGGATCAATTCTATGAAGTGCATTTGAAAAGTGAAATATGACGAGAGAGTGATGGTGAGCATTTGGTGGAACAGTAATATTCACTGCAAAAAAGACCACGGCATGCCACAACATTGGAACGTTCCTTCTGGAAAAAGAGCAGCAAATTGTGAGAGCCATGAAAAAGCCGAAGTCCATTGTACAATAAGAAACGCTACTTTGGCATAAGGAAGGGTACAGGAAGGGGGAACAAGATGTGGTAAAGTGGCAAATTGGCCGGCTTTCAAAGTTCACTTTCGGCTGCTTGTGTCTTTAAGCTAAATCATGACGCAGAAGACACAATCCTGGCCTGCTGTACTGAAGTTCATGATCTGGAGAAGAACGGTCTTTCATCCTAATGTTGCCTTCAGCCACAACTCGATTTCTCTTCTCCATATCGAGATCGAAAGCGAGGAATAAACATCACAGGATGAATCACAAATCACAGAGCGAGGAGAGATCAAAGGTTGAAAGCTCGAAGATCAGGAAAGAGAGGTTCATTGCTGGATATCCAGCATCCGCACAGCAAAGTTAAAGACAAGCAAGAAATTATTCCCCAACTCCAACCCCCCAAAGACAAAGCATGAACGTCCCCCAAACTCCCCGAATACCAAAGAACGAAAGCCGCCGCCAGAACACAACCGCAAGAACAATCCTCCCTTCCCCCCTAGTACTTGCTAATTAGATCTAGGTCCACGTTGACGTGGCGGTTCGTGTTGTGGTCCCAGACCTGGCCGCCAGGGATGGCAGCAGGAATCTCAGTAGCGTATTGTGCGTTGGTGAAGTGTGATGGAAAGACATATGCCGGAGGCAACTTTGGTTGTGGAGGGAGGACTGGCCAATGTTGGTGGACGTATTTGGTGACAGTATCGTCACCACCTCTCTCAAGAACAGGGGAGCCCTCACGACTTTGCTGCAGCTCTGGCACAGACGAATGGTTCGCAGCGCCTTGCAGATTACCAGTGCCGAATACTGGCCCAACTTGCAAGGTTGGGGATGGCGCCTCATCGGCCCCTAAGACAGGGAACCGAGAGGATGAGGGGCGAACCTCATTCTTTTCGCCATTCTCATCTGCAGAGACACTGCTAGCCATCGCTGAAGCCGCGGCCTCGGCGTAGGGCTTCATGGGTGGAGCTGCAACCTCCTTTCCCTTTCCCTTATTGCTGAGTGCCCGGCCGGAACGGGTCTTCAACGCAGAGACGGGAGCAGAAGGAGAAGTCAGCACAGAGTCAGCCTTGACAGTTGACTATGAAATGTTAGTTGATTTTCGAACGTTGGAATTGAAAGTGACAAACCATCTCCCCTGGCTGCTTCTCCCCCTCCCCAGGAAGCTCAACGGCTTTGCCCTTTCCTTTGGGGTCGGCCTTTCTCTTCTTCGATGGTGGTTGAGCCGGCTCCGAAGGACCAGCAACGACAGACTCATGCTCCTCAGGAGCCTTGCGCTTAGAAGCACGCTTGGTGGGCTTGGGGATGGCTGCTGGGGGAGCCTCCGGTGGTGGTGGTGCTGACTTGAAAAGGCCGGCGACCACTTTCTCTTCCTTCTTGACAACCTTTTTTGTGCCACGCTTTGTGGTCTTTGGCTGAGCTGGTGCAGGTGGTGGCTTGGATGGGGCGGCAGAACAGATCTGGTGACACGCCTGGTGGGCTCTGTAGCAGCCACCGAGGCTTGAGGAGGGGGTGGTGGTGATGGCACGTTCTTCTTCTTCTTTTTCGTCGCAGGGCCGGCAGCGGACTGAAACAATCAGAGAACAATCAGAAATATATGGAATTTTTTTAACGAGTTCTGATCATTCTCAACAGACAATAGTTGCTTGCTATTGTGTTGCCAGCGTTTCTCGCTTAAATTCAGGGGAACAATTGTCCGAACCGAGACTTGGCAAAATATTTCAAAGGTTCAGAGATACAATGCCAAACATTTCGAGCACATCTGATATCTGCATCATTTTCATTACCTAGCTCCAAGGAACCTATGTATACAAGAGCTCGACAGATAGTCACGTGTATCATTGTGCACGTGGTAGTGCCCATCCTGCATCAAGAGACTTGAGTTCCATTGACGTCAAATTCGGCTTGAAGGAGATACTTCTATCCTTTCTTTTTCTCTTTTCCATGTGTCTCTTTGCTCCTTCTTCAAAGTTTCGAGAAGTTGAAATATCGACCTCGGGAAGACTTTTGACACTGATCACGTGATATATGCCATCGGCACGAGGATGAATGGCACGTAGTAAGTGATGATTTGTATCATAGAAAGAGTCCCGCAAGAAACAATTTGTTGTTCTGATGTTTGCAGGAGGATGTCACACAACTATTCACCTCCCGAGTCAACACAGATGTCGTCTTTCGACTTTAATGTTACAAATCCATATTCTCAGGCCAAGACAAGCTTTTAATTACTCCAATTCGGGTACATTAAAGAAAGATGAAATTCGAGGTGGTTTCTTTGAACGGTGAACTCTCCCATATTTATGTACAAATCTAAGATTCTGCGGCAACCTTCGTCTCCTCCCAACACAACTTCCACATCTCTCGTGTAGAGGAACATTCTTCTTCAATCAATATCCGGTAGTACTAACAGTATCTGAGAATGTAGCAAAGGACGGAGTGTTATAGGTTCCCAGAAGACTGAACACAGTCGCGGTCACAGGGTACTTCGCATTTGTGCTTGGAAAGTTAGGAGGAAGGATGGCCTTGAAAACAATTGGGTACTCGACATTCGAGACCGCTGGCCCTAATGAGTGGGTTGTGAGCTTGTAGTAACCCAATGATCCTTCAAGTCCACTCCCGGGCTGGAGACCAAACACAACAACGACGTCCTGCGAGGTCTGGATGTTGCCTTCTGTCAAGAGAGTGACATTGAACTGCTTATGGACCTCCACAGTCGCAGGAAAGGTGATGTTGTAGATACTTGCTGAGGCCCCCCGTAGAAGAGAAAGAAGAGCAAAAGCAAAGAAACTTGTGAGGTGCATTGTGATATTATCTGATGATGTTGGTAGCTGCGATTTTCAACAACTGTGAACTAGTGAGATATATTCAGATAATTGAGAGGATGCTAATATTATTCGAAGGACGGTTCATATAAGCATCGTAACCTTTGTACGCGGCTGGAAGCTGCAAGTACGACGTCCATCAAAGTCTCGAAGACGAACCTGAAGGATCAATGTTAAGTCTTTGTGGATTGACTGGTGGTACTTTCGTACTGTTCTTTCACTCAACTATAATTAGCACGTTCGTGATCGAAGTCGTCATACTGTGTCATTCTACATCGTGAGATAATTGCAAGCAATAACCCTTCAAAACAAAGGAATGGCGAGTCTGTTATTGTCTGAGAAACAAGCCACTGACAGAAGCGGCGAAGGAGGTTTCTGGTCTAGACCCTGGGCCTAACAAAGCATTGGAGGATTCCCTTATCAAGATCTAGGAGTCGGTACCAGGTATCCTATAACAACTTCCAAGCTACTTCATAAGAATGTTGTATGTCATCGTGTCCAAAAGGAGCCAAATCGTAGTAATAAGAAAGTGGGGAGGGGATCGGACAATTTCTAAGGTACTGTATAGCATTGGATAATTTTCTCTCACACTCATAGTTAGCATCAAGAATAAGAATATCACATTATGGAACAAAGAAACTGAGATTGACAGGGTTTTAACACATTTTATTTTAGCTCATCACGGCCCAGCGTGGAATTGACTTACCTCTGACCCAGACTGTTACTTGCCTTAAGGAGATCAAGAGATACTGTGAGGACTTACCTTCTCCATGTTGAGCAACCATTCTTTACATATTGTGCTTATTTCCAAGCTGCTTTCGGTGGACCCGCCTTTACAGCTGCTGGTTTTCTAATAGGCACAGCAGTTGGTTTGGGAATAGCCGGCTTGCGAGTAGAGGTTGGCTTGACAGTAGAAGTTCGTTTAATAGGAGTAATGGGTCTGAGAGGAGCAGTTGCGAGAGTAGCGACAGGCTCGGGAGTCGTAGACGATTCTTCAATATTTCTCTCGGGGGTGGTTTCCTCCACAGAAACTAGTTCGGGTGAAGTGGATGCTGATGCAAGAGTATCTGGCTCGAGAGCAGTTGACTCTAGAGTAGTGGTTGGACTCAGGGTATCTACTGGTGCTGAATCTTCTTCTTTGCCACCATATGATGAGTAGATGTCATCGAAGAGAGCATCTATGGCATCATCGTCTGCAGAATTTGAATTGGTTTCGGTCGCATCTTCTTCGCCTTGGATATCAGGGCTACCTGGTAAGTCATAGTTGGAGGCTTCCTCGACATACTCTGCGTCTAGAGTCTCTTGTTCTTGGAGTAGTGCTCGAAAGCCTAGCATCTCGGGGGTGAGATCAATAGACAGAGGGTTAATGATGTCTCGCTCTGTCGGAATGTGCTCTGGCAGCTCGGAAAGCGGGACGCCTTCCGGGATCTTGAAATGAGTGCGAATCCTCTCGAGTCTTTCAGTCCCCTCTTCTGTGCCGGGGTCAATGATTTGACGGCCCCGGTAAGAAGTGTTGGACACCTCAGCTTGACCTTCTACAGTTCCCGGGTCAACGACGCGTCGTGGAGGAGAGCTTGGCTCGAGAACGAGTACATTCCGAGGATCTGACAGGAATGACTCCCAGCTTTCGCTTAGTGTGGTGGAATACGAGGACATACCCGAAAATTCGTCGATCTGTCTCCCTTCTTCTGAGTTTAGCGACGACGTGGAGGACTGGTCGGATATGATTTTTGAAGTGGCAGAGGGCGAGGTAAATAACGAGTCTGAGTTCGAGCTCTCTGTTCCATCTGTTCCTTCGCAGAGGAGAGAGTACAGTTGTCGCTGGTGTGCGCAATCGCTACACTCGTCAGCTGGAAAGGTATTTCCTTGAGTCTCTTCATGCGCTTTGTGGATGGTTATCCAGAAATTGCTTTCACAAAACAGATTTTGTCGATCTATCTCGGCTTGTCGCCGGCGCTCTTGGTCTTGGCACTTAGAACAGGCCACATTTCGTTCAATCTGCTGTGAGTCTGAGATATCTTGCGTGGCGGCGACACTACGGACGCGCGACCATAACTTACGAGAAAGGAGCGAAGAACGAGACGAAGGAACTACCGAGCTTAATCCGACATGCCCGCACGTGAAAAGTTCTGCGATAGTAATACGCTCCATTTTAAAGATGAGGTAGAGTTGGTGGGGACGGTAAGGCGTTGAAAGTTTTGTGTTTTGATAGATTGGCAAGTTCGATTCGATAGTTGTCTGGTATATTCAGGTAGTGGAATGTGTTGATGATGAGTGATGGACCAGGATCGAGAGAATTGGGCGACCTCTATAGCAGATGAACATCATCCAGAGAAGCTGTTCTATCATAACAATTGCATTGTGATATACAAGGCTTTTGTTGAAAGCTCTTTCTTTGAATTCAAGGCAAGCAAAGAATATTTAAATCTCTTTGTGTCGAGAGGGTTTGAAGAACAACATAAAGTCTCTGTCTTTGTGGTCCCCAAAGAAATGTAATCTCAACGAAAGCTTAAACGGCCTAAATAGAAAGAAATATACTCTATTCTTGGTCAGTAGGAGTCAAAGTAAAGGATGTATGAGATATGATGACATTTCGGCTCTTTAGATACTTTCCAGGTTTGTTGTAAGGCCTTGATTCTAATGACAGAATGATGAGAGAAGAAACAGTCGCTTGAGAGAGCAACAGTGAGGTAGATTCCATACCAAGTCGGAGTTCGTCGGATCTATGGTTAGAGCATCATAATTTGGGTCAATACTACGGTGGAGCTAAAGAACAGGGCATCATCCAAAGGCTTATAAACTGAGAGGTGGTTTTGAATCGCTTCTGGCTGACACAATTTCCGAAAGCATGCCCTGCCAATCCTCGCTCCACAATACTTCAACAAAAAAGCCCTACAACTGGTTGTAGAATCTGCAATGTGTCGACGTACTTGCATCAAGTATAGTTGTCTTCACACTAGTCGGGAAACCCAGCTTTGCCCTTCTGTTGCTGACGTTCATGGCAAGTACGCTTACTCGCTAGCGAGTATGTGCGATGATTATGTACATGAGCACCAAGTACTACCAACTCGTTGTTCACTATGTGAGTCTAAAGCGGAGAGTGCGAGACGAAGATCCAAGAGAGATAAAAAGAAATGTAAGGTCTTATAGGTCACGTGAAAGAATAGACTACAACGAACAGCCAGAAGTATACAGTCTATTACTAACATTTCGAGCTGATCATGACCTTCGCGATGGCTGCTAGACTTAGCATAGTTGGTGCTGAGTCATGTAAGAATTACACAACCCCGGGAAGATAATCTAGTTTCTAAATTTCAAAAAGTGATGAACTCTGTGATATTATTGAGACTTCTATCTATACACTATCAGCTGTTTCAAATTTGCTTGCAACTGCAATACTCCCAAGTCTAGACCTGCGTGTAGGCCGTCATCACTAGTTTCGAGGAGCACGGACACAGGGTCCTCGGCCTTCAAAGCTCTCGGCCAACTCGGAGAGTGGTGGGCTAGAGATGAGAACGGGAATGAAGGTGGAGTACCCGTGAATTATTGGAGGGACAATGAGTGAAAATGAAGATTTTCAAAAAGACAAAATGCTAGAACCAATGATGAAGCATGAACACAGGGAATGAAATAACGTGATATGTGACTGCTAGCAGATATACAGCGACTTCGTCCTCATTACGACTCCTAGCTAGACTAGGTGAGCCTTGGAGAGATGAAGTGAAATCCGGGCCACGTGACCTCAACTTGGGACTAAAGCACGAATTATATCGTTCATTCACTGACCTCTACAGAGATTTTAGAGTGGATGAAAGGAATGGAGATTCGTAAGAGATGGAAGACTGGCTAGCAATCGAAAACTCTATCCCGTGTCATCAAGAGTAGAATTTCCCCCAGAACGAGCGACAGAGCACCTTACGCATGGAGCATCATTAATTATCCGATCTTGTCTCTTGAGAGTTCTGCACGTGTTAAATAACCTGCGGATATGACATACTCGGCTGACCCAAGCACATCATCTGGCTCAAACATCGAGGCATAAAGAGGCCTCACGATCTATAAAGAGAATTAGCTCCAATACACTACTATCTAAACCATTGGCTAGGTACCTTCGAATAGAACATCGGCTCATTTGGCCATGGCCAGTTGTATCCCACTGGGGGCCATCGTTCAAATCATCGTATAGCTGTAGCTGTCTGTTACTAAGGACCACAATCTCTCCAATTCGTTGCTTGAATCGACGTCGTAAGTCGGAAATGGGTATAGACTCAAGATTGCTCATTGGCCTGAAGACATACATACTTTGAACCGCAGTACGAGTCGTATAGTGTAGCGTGACTGTGTTCAAATGCTCAAGTAGAACGAGGATCGTGTACATGGAGTTTTCCACCGCACTCCGTGCCCAAATGAACGAGGGCATGTCACCTGAATTCCACCTGAAAAGTTTCAGGGTGAGCTCTTTGCTTTTCAACGCCTTGATCACTGCATCCAGCGGCCGCTTTGCCCCAGCTGGGCCAGCGTCTAGCCTCGCTCCGGCGGTAAGTAACTTTTCAACTATAGTTGCTTGTGCTCTTTCATGCGCGCAGCTGAGTTGACACACCAGGCTCAGCGGAGTTTCGCCGCCTTGCGAAATTGCGTTGGGATCGGCAGAGCGAGATAACAAGAGTTCTACTCCGTATAGCGAGGGCCTTTCTGCAGCTCTGTGTAAAGGCGTCATGAGGTCTGGCGTTGTTGTGTTAACATCCGCACCACTTTCGAGAAGGATCCCAAAGGTTCTGGTGTCCATATCATCTGTTACTCGACTTAGAGCTGTCCATCCGTTGTTAGGCCTTGCATTAATATCTACTCCTGCATTGAGCAGCAAAGAGACAGCATCTCCAGAGTCATCGTTCCAATCGTACTTAGTCGAGACGAGAGAGAGTAGAGGCGTATTGAGTTGATAATCCTTAAGTAATGCGGACGCACCAAGGTTGAGGAATCTTCGAATCGCAGCAATGTCCACAGGTCGCTTCTTTGCAGCGATATGAAGTGCAGTTTCGCCCGAAGCATTTCTGCTATGGATATTTGATCCTCGGAGAATTTGTTCGTCTTCATTCCCGAACACGCGCAGATTATCCCGGATCTGGTTGAATAATCGTTCTATCTGGGCTTCTAGTGCAGTTGGAATGCTGTTGTTGTTACGGCGAAGTTCCAACATGATTTCTTGCAGTCTTACAAGATCACTGTGAATGTTTTCGGCCATCGGGTCAGCAGGTTGTTGATTTAGGTGAAACGGCGAAGAGGCAATACTCATCCGTTGCAGTTGATCACGGATTCCGTACGCGCTGTACTACTGGTTGATGGGGAGTCTCCTTGGCGGCTTGGTGACGTTTCTCGAGTCCGCATATAACTGACTGTTGTCACGCTGTCGCTGTCGTCTAAATCTGATGACCGCATATAACTAACTGTTGTCACATTGTCGCTGTCGTCTGAATCTGATGACGGAGGGCTATCATCTCCTCCTGGATCTTCGGGAGCTGCGCGATGTCGAACATTCTGATTAAGATTCGAAGAGTTCGATCTGGGATCAGGAACGCGCCTATGTGTGGTGTATGGCCTAGGAAATGCGCGTCGCGTTATATGTCCCCGCTGCCGATGGTCCCTGTCATAAATTCCGTCGGATAAGTGAGGGATATGTAGAGGAGTCAATTGACTAGGGTGCGTCAGAAGAGACTCAGTGTTGATCGAAACTGTAGTGGAACTACGGTTGGAAGAGGCATTTGAGGCGGTGTCTTGGAAAAAGCCCGAATCTCTATCTGAACCGGTACCTTCATCAGTGTCTACTTGTTGAAGCCAAGCCATAATCTCAGCAGATGTTTTAGAAGCAGAGCTAATTGCTCCATCGATGATAATACTGGTCCTTTTATTTTGCAAGGCGGCAGGTCTTTGGAGTCGTGTAGTGCTGACACCCTTAGCGACGGCGCATAAGCATCTCTTTGACTTGAAAAGCTTACCTTTGAAAAACTTGAAGAAATGCATTCACGGCATTGCCCTGCTGCTCAAGTGCTCTTGCGTATCGTTGCAGTTGTGGCTGGGCGAAGAGTGCTTGCCCTCTTTTCCAGATACTGAGCTTCCTGCGTTGCACTCCAGTCGCGCCTGGGATAGATGTTCTTCCCACGCGATCAGTGGCATTCGACAGGGCTCTGACTAGTTGCTCGCAATTTGTAGACACATTCCCACAGCCTCGTCCACTCTATGTCACTTAACTCATCCTGATAGATATTGATCCAGAGACGAAGACGTTCCGAGACCAGGCCCAGCACGCCGGTCTGAGCTTCAATTGCGGAAAGGTCAAGCTCCACATCTCGAAATCTGACAATAAGATCGTTCAAACCCGTTACGAAACTGGCTGCGTTGCGAGTGATTCCTACGCACGCTCCTGTGATGGCTAGAATGGTCGCTGGATCCATAGCAACGATCAGAAAGGATGAAGTGATTGGAATACTGTATATTGAAACATATCGCACATTATTGAGCGGAGAGACTGTATCAAAGTTCTTATCTTCTTAAGATAAGAGTGAAACCTGAACGAACAAAATAAATATAAATGCATCAAGTCCGTAAGAGATTCCGAAGGCTTGCTTAAGCGAACAGTATGTGAATGCTAAAAGCATAGAAAAGACCGTACTTCAATGGAGCAAGAAATTGCGAAATTTAAAATACTCTGAATTCTTTTCTGAAAGATGCATCAAGTGAGTTTATGCACAGTCACAAGAGTGGAAAATCATTATTCTGTGTTGGGAGCCGAGCCGAGGCTTTTTGGGTCGTGAGGTTTTGTCCTACTAGACGACCGGTTGCAACAGCGGCAAGCTGACTGACCTACCTAGTAGGTATCAGATGCCAGGTGCACAAGGAAGAAAAAGTTGATTCATAATACAACTCATTTGCATCATCTCAGGAACTCAAAGTGAGTCTTGGATTCTTGAAATCAAGCTTCTAAGTTTCGTTCGACGAAAATGAGCTCCACAATCACCACTCCCTCGGTAGAGCTTCAACAATGGCCTCGGCAACAACCCCACCAGCTTGATCAATTCTACGTTGACCCCGAACCCTCTCACTTGAGCCAAAATGAAGCTTCACAACATAACAGAGACGTCCAGCAATACCTAGAGCCAGTGGATCGTGGAGCAGCAGCCTGGAGGCTTCTTGCTGCAGCATTCGTCTTCGAAGCTCTTTTCTGGGGTAAAACTTGCCACGATCGTATAACGTAGCTGCTAACAGATGAACATCAAGGCTTTCCTCTCTCATTTGGAGTTTTCCAGAATTACTACTCCAGCCTTCCGCAATTTGCAAACGATCCGTACATTCCTATTGTAGGTACCGTGGCATCTGGGATCTCGTACCTTGGAGCACCGCTTGTTATTCCTTTGATAAAACGGTACTCTAGATACCAAAGACAAATGATCTTTGCTGGCTGTGAGAATACCCTTCTTTGAGAGTCACGTGGGCCATTTCACTGATGAATCCAGGGCCTCTTTGCCTAGGAGGACTTGCAGCAGGGTCCTTCTCCACAACTCTCGGTGCCCTCATCTTCACACAAGGCGTTATGTACGGTGTGGGATTCTTGATCTTCTACTACCCTATCTTGAGCTTCGTGAACGAATTCTGGATCGAGCGAAGAGGAATGGCGTATGGGATTCTATGTGCATCTTCAGGAATATCTGGTATCATGATGCCATTCGCGGTCGAAGCCATGCTACACAGATACGGATACCCCACCACACTTCGGGCCATTGCTATCGGCTTGGCAGTGCTAACAGGCCCCTTGTTACCGCTTCTGAAAGGCCGCTTACCACCTTCGGTACACAGCACTGCTGGACGAACCGATTGGAGTTGTTTGAAGAAACCTTTGTTTTGGGTATATTGTGCATCAAACTTGATGCAAGGCCTCGGATACTTCTTCCCATCACTTTACCTCCCGTCATACGCAGTCTCTATCGGACTCAACTTATCTCAGGGCGCGCTGTTGTTGGCTCTACTCAGTATCTCGCAAGTCATGGGTCAGATCAGCTTTGGCTATCTATCCGATCACAGATTGAACTTGAACCTCCTCATCATGATATCAACGATTGTATCAGCAATTGCATCTCTGACGCTCTGGGGCCTGGCACGGTCGCTAGCCGTTCTCATCGTTTTCTCCTTGGTGTATGGATTCTTCGGAGCAGGTTATGTCGCGATGTGGGCAAGGATGGGAAGCGCAGTAAGCAATGAACCAACTGCTGCACTTGCAACCTTTAGCTTGTTCTGTGCCGGCAAGGGAATTGGGAATGTGGTGGCAGGCCCGATAAGTGCGGGTTTGATTCTGCCATTTACTGCAAAAGAGAGTTATGGAGCGATGAAATACAAGGCGGTGGTCCTTTTCATGGGGTCTTGTATGATTGGTAGCACGGTTAGTGTTGCAGCTTGGTATGTGAGGCAGAAGAGATGGTTGAGAGCCTCGTAGGAAAACTACACTTTGGAATGTAAAAATTGGATTCAGCAGCCCAGTAAGCGATTCAAAGAGAAGAGCAACGGAAGAGAGTCCAGTCATATCCAAGGCAAAGGGGGGTGGTTTCGCGGATGCCGAAATTATTCGAGTCCACTTTAGTAAAAACTGTGCTCAAGACAATCTTTCAAAGACCATAAGTACAAGAAATCAATTCGACAACAGTACAGAGATTGCTGCAGAGGGTGGTGCACTCACAGGGAATGTGAGCTTTCAGTCCCCTGAAATTCAGTGAAGAAGCGCTGTAGAAATACCCGAAGGGCTTAATGCCCCAGTACAGACACACTAAACTAGATGCGCTGCGCTGTCAGAAACTTACGAAGTTACACCCTGTAGCTCTGGGGACCGTAAAGCTTAATCAACGTCAGCCACGATGCCCTCGAAGCACCATTTAGCGAGACCACGCATGATTCACCGAACCTTCAGGTAACATAACCACTAATGATGCTGCTCACAGCGTGCTATGCAGCCTTGGAGATCACTTTTCCAGCGAACAGAGCCCTGCAGCCGCATCGCTTTTATGCCACGATCTCAGTACCTATTTGAGGAAGAAGCAGAGCATCATTTCCTACAACATCCACAAACAAATAACACCCAACAATTCCTCCCCTCAACCATCGCCGCGTTCATATTCCCCATTAAAAAAGACACAAAAAGACACCTTCTTCTTTGACTTTATGTTCATTCGACGCCACAACTCCCCCTACATACTCTCACTTTCCAACCATCCTCATCCTCATCCTCAATGTCCAAAAATCTGCCAACTAATACTAAACAATCGAAACGCTGAACTATCTCCTTAACTTATCTTCGTACCCAGAATTCCGTACACACACGAAGAAATATATATATTCAAAGAACTCCAAACCCATACCTATCCAGAAAAGAAGACGAAGTTGTAGAAGAACGAGGAAAAAATGATCCAAATGTCCAAGTTCAGTGAGACATGACGTGTCTTGTCTCGCCCGGAACGAACCTGGGAGGAAAGAGTGAGTCCACTGGGATGAAAGAAAGAAGGGATTTCAAAATGGCTGCAGGATTACTGCTCATTGGATGGAAACTCTCTTCTCGTAGGTCATCACGTGACTTGTATCCAGCGCATTTCGAAGCCAAGCGCAAACCCACCCGACACAGCAAACAGTCTCATCATGTATGATACTCAATTCATTCATTCTAATACTACCATCAGATATCATAACACCAACATAACATACAAGCATCCACCCCCTCCTCCCAACGCTTTTGTTTTCTCCAACCGCATCTTCGTATCCATATCCACAAATCCTTCATCCAACGAGGAAGGATATCATTCGCCGACTCGCACAACACTCAACGAAAAGACAAGGAAAGACGTCGCGTCCAATGACAAAAACAAAAAGAAAAGCAGTGCCATGATGTGATGCTGTTCATAAAGCTCGTACCGCATTACACATTATCCAGCCGTGAATCCTCCACTTCCTTCCACTGTCGAGGAACTCCATTTAGAAATCCCAGAAATCGCCTCCGGTAGCTTGGGCCTTTCCTTGTGTCTTGCCGGTTCTGAATTTACCTGGCTTGTTGACACCACCGGATTCTTCGCCGTCGGAATCGTCACCGAAGCCCCATGTTCGTCCGGATCCCTTCTTACCGCCCATTCCATCACCAGCAGTATTGATACCCTTAGGGTTGTCATTTCGGTGGCTCATGATGTTGGTAGCTTCGGACAGAGGACCCTTCTTTCCACCCATGCCATCACCTGCAATGGTGATGCCCTTGTTGGGAATGGTGCCGTTCTCCTTTTGGCTTGGTGATTGATCATAGGTGTCCCAATTGGCATCCATCATCTTCACAACCTTGGCCTTATTTTCAGGAACTGCTTGAGCTGCTGGCTTCGATGCTGGAGAATCATCAGTCATCGTGAAATGAGGGTCAAAATCCTTGCGTCGATCCTTGACATTGGCCAGGTTTGGTACTGGGTCGTTGCCAACTGCTGCAGCACCAGTCTCCTCGTCAAACAGATTATCCTTGTAAAGACCAAGTCCATTATTCTGTCCTTGTCCTCGAGGACGGCCGGGAGCACGTCGTTCTCCATCAGGTGTTCCATCGTCGACAAATTCGAAATGTGTTTCGGCATCCTTTCGTGGCTTGTCGACCTTCTTGACCTTGATAGGACTGTCAACAACTTCATCATCGCTATTTCCCCAGTGACGAACGTCATTGGTACGCAGAACCTTGGACGGCACAGCCTTCTGTGGAGTCATGAAGTCGTCGAAATTCCATTGGCTGGAATGCTTGTTGGCATCGATTACCGGCTTCTTTTGTTCGACCTCCTCTCCATCACCAAAGTCAAAATGCTGGTATCTGGCAGCATTGGGACGATACATCTTTTCCTTGTTCGCGCCTGACATGGTTTCTGCCGCTGATTCTGTATCGAAAAGTCGTGATGGTCCGTAGTTCTTTCCTGCACCAAGCTTGGGAGCGATAGCTTTTGATGGGGACTCTGACCGCTCTTCTGGCGCCTCAACGTGACTATCTTGTCCTCCGAACAACTCATTATAATCGCGTGGGGGTGGCTTTGCGGACGACTTGGGCGCCACAACGGAAGGTAGAGATTCTTCGATGGTCGTGCTGCGAGGAGCAAAGAGAGACAGGGAAGCGTGTGGATCGCGCGTAACGTTCGTGGAATTTCCTCTGGATCGATTGTATGCCGACTCTTCTACCGGTGGAGGTGCATCCGCCAATGCCTTTCCGGTCGACTTGACACTGTTTGCAATCAACTTGATCTGATCCTTTCCATCCCGAATCGGCCAGTTTCGTCCAGTCTTTCCAATCACATCAATCAACTTGAGAAGAGATCCCTGGTCCCAGCTCAACCGAATCTGCTGAATCTTGCCATCTGCGTCGAAGCTCACAATGTGAATCTGTACATGTCAGCAACGTCAGTATAGTGAATGCGCGAAAACTCACAATCGGAAATGTAACCACTCGATCTGCGAGGAAGTTGTCATCCAAGCTTGGCAGATATGCTCCACCTCCCATGAGGAATTCCAAGGTGGTGTGAACCTCGACGGCGAGCGCGTCTCCGCCTTCAACCACGCCGAGGTACTTCTCCTCCTTCTTCTTGAGCTCGCGGGTCTGGTTATTGAGATGCTTGATGATTTCGGAGGAGCCATTGATCGTGACCAGAGTGGTGATATAGTTGAGCGACGCGTTGCTGGCCAAAAGCGCAGAGTTGGGTGCCGCAAGGAACTGTTTGTACACAGCCTGGAGCGACATGATTGCTGGAGTTTCGATTCGGCAGGCTTGCAGGAAATGTGGTTCTGTGTTTAAGACGCGTTGTAGAGGTTTGCGACCAAAATGTGACAGGTGTCTTGAATTGTGCCACAGGAGAGCTTGGGGGAGAAAGAGACACAGAGCAAGAAAAGTTGTGTGTGTAGGAAGTTGGTGTGGAGAAGCGAAATAGATCTTATTTACTCCGTGTTGTCGCGACTTCCCGTGGTAGCGTGTCTGATTCGCCCTTTCCCTGGTAACAAGGGATTCTGATATTGGTTTTGAGGCAATATGAAGGAGAACTTGGTTGCTTTTATTGCATTGATTTCTGATATTATTGTTATTGCGTGTTGTTGCCTGGGGCCAGGGGGATCTTAAGATGCACTCCTTAAGGGGTCATCAATGGCCGTGAATCTCGATTCCAACGTACCCCACAGGCTCAATGTTTACTCTGGCGATCCTGAATTTCCCCATCTAGTTTAGCCAAAAGCAAAATGCGGCAACTTGAAGCAAAATTACACCCGATCTTGCCTAGTGATATGCATGGTGGTGTGTCAAACCGGCACACGGGAAGGATGCGAGGTTTCATGTGCAACGGTGAAAATGTGGGATGTTTTCCTCGGCCAGCAACGCCAATCACTTCGGTTGTCCACCCGATTCAAAAATAATGAGTTGAAGATATATTTATTCATCATAATCTTCACATCTTTTCACTCGTGATTTGTATATTGATCTTTTTTAAAGTTTGATAACGATAATCTCCGATATCAATGCACATGGATTTGGGCTATCAATAGATGATCTCCAACATCCTTGTCTTCTCGTCCTTGACCCTTGAGACATGTGACTGACGAAAGCTGCAAGAAATCCCGCTGTCAATTTGATCCCATTCAAGGATAGACCTCCGAGACTTTATGACTTTGACAACCTCAACATCTCAGCGATACTAACTTTTCTTGCAATTACCTTTTGTAATTCTCGGTGTAATATGAAGTCACGCGTGTTCAAAAATACTACCTACCTACCTAGGTAATCTTACTCACAGAAATTACTTAGAAGCCAACAGCAAAGAATAGGACCATTGATAGATGCATCACTACAGACTAGTGATAAAGCAGAGGACAATGAAGCTTTTGATAATATGAAACCGACAACGCCCGCACTTGAGTTCCATTACTCCTGATGTTCTCTTTCCTTCTTTCCTTCTTTCCATCCTTCCTTGTTCCTTTCCAGGATACTTTACCCCGCCGCCTCGCAGCGTAATCTTACAATTCTCACTTCTCGCATCATTCTCCAACCACATCGGCCACAACCACCACCACCACCATTCTTATCTTCTCCAAACTCACCGAAAACTCAACTCTCGCCTTTCGAGAGCATGTTTCACTGCCTGCCTGCCTGCCTGCGAGACCACAAACCACAACTCATGGGTGAGATGGAATGCATCCACGAAATGTGTGTCCAGTCACGGTGGGCCGCCTGTCCTGCAGAGCAACACACAGCTGCAGCCTCGTCCAGTGGCGTGTTTCAAGGTGAGAAGTCATTCCCATTCAGTGACCGGCTCTTCTGCATCGCTGCCCGGTCAGCCAGTCATGATCTCGAGTCTTCTGTAGGTCTCAGACAATCGAGCCTCATGTGCACTTTTTGTTTCTCAAACGGCGTTGGCCTGCAGCAGTCAGCCGTTCGTGCCCACAACTTACTGTACTTTTTCCACTTCTTTTCAAGGTGATAAGAGAGAGGCCCTGCCCCTGTCCCCTGGACAACTTACTTGGTGCGATAGCTTTCGTCCACCTCATTCATACAATGACGTTTGCATCGGAATTCGAGATTTTGTGCAGTGAGCTCTCCATTCTTTGGCTTCGCTTCAAGCTATGGGGACAATCAATCGGCCTGGATCTGGACCTTTTCAATGACATTCAGTCAACACTGAGCTCGCTACCAGATGTGCAATCAACCATCGTACAAGGCGTCGGCAATATCGTTCATCTGATGACAGAAATCGAATCGATCAGATACAAATATGAATTTCGACCACCGCTTATTTCTGATGCAACTCAACCCAACGAGAAAGCCCTTCTTCGGTCGACCATTTCTTTGAGTGCATTATCGAATACCCGAGCCATCAAATCATTACAACAACGAATTCGAGATAACCAGAGGCAAAAGTCCTACTTCACTATCGTGAAATGGACCATTTGTGATGCAAAGAAGTTTGAGGACAAAGTCAAGCAATTGAAGATTCTGATTGATGGTCTCGAAGATGTCTCTCTGGCTGCCAAAGTCACTCACCAGCTTCCTGCTGCCGTGACAAGTGAAGATCCAGATCCACCACCATACTCTGTCACGTTATCTCAACAATCAGCTTCCTCCTCCAATACCCAAGCAACTATACCTTCTCCGGATCAAATTTCGCCCCCAATCCATAGCCAACCATCTATGCCATCTCCTGACTCGATATTATTACATGATCCCGAAGTAGCAGCTCACTACACCGCAATGCTCCAACACTGTGCCCTCCCCTCGGGCCCTCAAAACCAACCACGATGTAGAGCCCGCGACAAAATGACCCGACTCTCGGACCGCCAATTCAAAGAACTCCGAACAGACGTCTACGACGAGCTCTTCCGGCGGCAATTCGAAGGATCCACACCGTCCTCTCTCCAAAAAGATATCCGTTATCACCCAAAACGAAACCAAGCCCGAGAGAAACTTTCCACACTCCCTTCCCACCGATTTAAAGATCTGGTTGTCGACGTCCTCTTCGAGCTGGAAAGGAGATTCCCAGCCTTACAGGGATCAACGTCGCCTGGTGTATCGGTATTATTGATGAGCTCATTTTCCGCACCAAGTTTGGAACTGTGTGGTACTCAACGAAGCAGCATTCCCCCTCCCCCTCTCCAAGACCGAGCCACTCACCCATCAACTCTCCCACCCACCACTCCCTCTCCTGACCCCTCACCATTATTATCCCGATATAGCCAACGCCCCTCCGAAATCAGCGAGCAACAGTCTCAAATTGAAGGAGGAGGAGGAGCAGCGTCTCGAGGAAGCGCCGAAATCTTCAAATCATTCCGCGTCAGCATGACAGACCCAACATGGAAAGTCCTACCCGCCGCCCTGAGAAAATACAACATCGAGGCTTCTGCCGACGAGTATTCGCTGTACGTCATGTATGGAGATGTGGAGCGGCTTATGGGGCTCGATGAGCAGCCGCTTGTCGTGTTCAAGGAGCTGGATCGGAAGGGGTTGAAACCTATGTTTATGCTGAGGAAATTGAAGGGGTGTGAGGTTATTGAGCCTGGGAAGTCTCGCGTAGTTGATTCTGATGCTGTTTTGTGAAAATTGGGTATGCGGTTCGCCGGGTAAAATGGAGTAGGGAGAGGGAGAGAGATGTTGTTGACTGCCAATATGATATTCCGGGTCCGTAATCTTTCGAGACTTATTCCTTCTCATGCTGATCGTCGCTGCCGTGAACTGAAAATCTGTGAAATGATATAAATGTACTTGACACCGCCCCTTGAAGGACAGATCCAGCATCGAGGGAAAGAGAAAATAGCTATCATAACCGTCAGCTTCAACAAAACCCCCTCAAAATCGCCAACTCGTGTGCTTGTATCGGTCAGAAACCTGATACTCTCCTATCCCCAACCCCTCGAGCCTTCTACTCACCCCGATCCCCATATTCCATCACATACCGTGGCCTAAAAAATCCATAAAATAACACAATCCAGCCTGAGACCGTCCCGCAAGGCTGACTGACTGAAGGATCAAAGGAGAAAGGATAGACTATTGCAAGCAACTGTCAGCTTTATTTGATGAGATCCTCTCAATTCCGCAAATTTGTGTGCTTGTGATCAAGGAGAGGATTCGGAATGGCTTTTTAGTCAGATTTCCTTTTTTGGGGGGGGAGGGGGGGGTTCGCTCAACTCCCTGTAGTTTCAGTGGTGATTCTTCGAGTGTAGAAAATTCTTGGTGTTTTTCTAGGGGAATCGTGAACCACTGCCACGGAAGGCTTCCACGCACGGAGCATGGGTTAGCCGGTCCTTCGGCTTCATCATACATACCTTGATACCAAGTCTTCTTTGAGTTTCGATTTGTAGATATCTTCAATTTCGTGATTGAAGATTGAAAATTAGAAAATTAGAAAATGAAAAGATTCGTGTTTGCTTAAAGGAAAACTATACTTATTCAGGCTTATGATTATAACAACATTTTTGATTCGTAAATCACTGTTCAAAGGAAAAAAGGTTGAGGCTCGTGACCGGAATATATTTTGGCTTCCAACAATAACTGCCGGCTCCGTTCTTCTGAACTCAGACCTATCTCACTTCCTCGGCTGAGGAGCATCTCTCTATCTAACTATCTAGGGCTTGGACCTGGTGTCTGCCCACTTCGGAAGAGTTCCAAATTCTTCCCTGAGCTGTCAGATGGCCTTCTTTTCTCAGGAAGGCATCTTCGGAGCTCGGTGATGGGATGCATCTCTCGATACCAAGCAATGAAAAGGCACAATGATTCCTCCGCTCTGCTTCTGAGACACTGGTGATGGTGCTTCTAAACTCTTCCACTGCTTTGTAATATCTTTCTCTCTCTCCTTAAATGATATGCTGGGCTTTGTAATGTGAAGCATCTCTCGACACAGAAGATTGAAAAATCCCAATATTACCTCCGCTTGGCTTCCGAAACATTGGTCCTGGGATTCTCGACTCTTCGACTGCTTTGTAAACTCTCTTTCTCGTCCTGAGAAGGAACTTCTGAGTCTCACGACTGAAGTTTGCTCGAATTAGATGACTCCAGTCAGGAAAAAGCTCAAAGTTTGCATCATGACTTACCTGTGACTTGCTCCTGGTGCTTCTCGACTCTTCGGCTGCTGTGTAACCTCTCTTTCTTCCCCTGAGAATGATCTTCCGGGCGCGATGACTGAAGTATGCTCAAATTAGAAATCTCCAGGTACGAAAAGTTCAAAATATGCCTCTCAGCTTACCTAGAACTCGGTCCAGGTGCTTCTAGACTTCTCGGTTGCTCTGTAAATCCTCATCCTCTCTTTTCGAGCAAAGAAATCTTTGATTCTCGTGGTTCGAGACATCACTAACAGACGCCAAAAGTCCAAAATCCCCTTCTTGACCTTCTGCTTACCTGATTTTCCAGATCTTGATGATGCTTCGCTTAGGGAAAGTGGTCAGCAAGATAAGATACTCGATTCCAGAGGCAATCTGACTCGCTGACGATCCTCACCTCCCTTCTTTCCTCGTCCTGGGCCATTTTTCTGGCTTAATGCCATTCCTGTTGTATCGGAGGGTGTGCTGGACAAAATAGCAGTGATATTCACTCTCTTGAAGCTGGTGAACACCAAGACAGTCGCCTGTTCCTCCCGAATCGTCTCATTAGCTGGATGGATGCGTTATGGTGCCTTCTCTGGTATGACTTTCAGAGCTTCCATGAATATTCTCATGATTGTGCTTGCGACCTGGATTGCGTCGCTTAACCATGGAGTAGATTGCTCCTTCCTTCAACATAATGTCTTAATTCTTGACTCTTGAGGTGATACTTCAATCGATTAATTAGTATCCTCAACATTCTGATGAGGCTGTTCCTTTTTTAACGATAATTTCTGAAATGTAGACTCCGTAAATGATTCTTTCCGTGCTCGCTCTGGACCTGAAACTCCACAGCATCTCCAAATTGACAATCTGAATGACTCAAGATCGTCCATATGTGCTCAATAAAATCTTGTGTAATCCAGGGGTAGAATGTAATGAATCTGTTGATGATTTTAACTAAATTTGGGTGAACCACGTGTACATAGCGTTAAGCGCGACGATCCGCATCTCAAATCTTGCGTCTCTTAAGGACAACATCAGGACTGTCCTCAAAGAAAATCAGAGGACGTTCGAAAATACCCAGCTTACATATATGACTATTTTTTTCTATCCAATCCGAGTACTATATACCCCAAGAGCCAAATCACAGGTTCGCAATCTCTTGATTGTTGCTCTGGGAATTGAGTAGCTCGCAATTGAGCACACAGAGCCATTACAATTGTTGTTCTGCGCAAGGTCACTTCGCAGAGACAGGCCCAGAGTATTTTCGCAGCCCTTTCATAGGATAGACTTCCTGTACCTGAGCCATGGCGCCAACTCTTGTGTTCGGATAAATGGAACACACGTAAGAGATCCTCTTACATCTCAAGCAGAGATTGAGAGACCTCCCGCTGACCTAAGATAGTTTCAGTTCAGACCTGCCCTTCTGTTAAAATACCAAAGCTCTAACCAGGATCCAGGAAGGATCAGACAGTTCCATCCGGGACCTTCTAAACGAATATATCAGCCAATTGCGACGCACAGCTAGCTCATACCTCCTCCTTGACCATTTCTTTGATCCCCAGAGACAGCAGACCGTCGAAAGCAGAAGTATCTCCCCTCGCATGGCAAGCTGACTTGATCACAATCACCAACAAGCGCTCGAGAACCTCATTCCCAACAAAAGAATACATGCTGCCTATCCGTCGACGTTGCCTGGTATGCTTGCCTCAATATTCGGCTTGTCCAACACAGACTCAGAGGTGCAGACCTCCTTATCTTAACATGACACAAAGGCATGCACCGTATTGGAACAACAGTTGGCTGATATCAGAGATCGCCGCTGCCGGTCGCTGCTTGATGCTTCGAAGAGGAGATAAGATTCCAGGCCCACCGACACTTCGGCATAGCATGAACAATACTCTGCATTGCCATACTACAATCTCTCAGATGATGCACCCCGATGGTACTGTTGAACTCCATAACTTTAGGGGCCTTCCTTCACCAAGTCTTGCACGAGTCCTGAGAATATGGTGAGGCGTGCAGCTCCAGGACTTCGAAAGTGCAAGAATACACACGTCGGCAACATCAATACTCAATACACTCGGTCAACTCAGGACACATCTGCCAGCTTGCCTTGTGCTTGGGTTGAGGCACGATCAACATCCAATACATCCAAGTTCCAGACATCGACATCCTCACACAACCCTTAAGCGAAATCTAAGCGGCATCTACAGGATATATAAGAGCGGCCAGAAAGATTCGGAGAGATACCCTGTGCTCAGGATCCTGGTGCTAATGCTTTCCGGCACAAAGATACTTTCGGGTGTCAGATCAATGCCCCTTTCCCCAAACGACGTCCGACATCTTGGACATAGTATCGGCACTACAAAGAAACCCAACAATTCAAGCTCGCAAAGAACGTCCGGAATGCCTTCGAAACAGAAGTACAGAGGGTTGTCCCACATCATAGTTTTTAGAAGTATGTGGAACATTCAGAAATTCCAGGGCAGCAGCTATGTCTCCCGAAGGAGTGAGTATGATCGAAGCCCTAGATGTCTCAACGCCTCACTACTTCTTATTCAAACATACTCCACTTCTTCTGCTACGCCATAACAGATAGGTTGAGTGACTACTCAAACCTCGACACAACACCCAAGATCTCACTCCACCTCTTTTGGAACATCATGATGGATGGATGTAACAGAACCTCTGAGAATTTGGGTACTCGCCCAAACCTCAACCACAGCCACAATCATACTTCACCTCTTCTTCAACCCCACGAACGGATTGGATCAGAGATCCTATCCTCAAGCTTGATGGCTTACGCAACTCCGAAATTTAGGCCAATTTCCCAATAAATGTCAGAGATCTTGAAAGAGCTAAATGCAGAGCCGAATTCGCCAAAGGAAGACTTGGATACGGAAACCCTCGACTGAATGTCGTGCCTCAACCACATTGCTAGCGACCAACATGATTTTGGAAAACAGCGCATTTTCCTACATTGACTATGAGTACGATGCTTTCGACACCTCGGAAAAGAATCCGACTTTCACGCCCATCTTTGCGACATTTTATAAAAAAGCATCCATGCCCTACAAAAACAAGACAATGTTCTGCAAGCAAACAACTCCTCGAACTGAAGTAAGATGCGGCACGCGAACAGGGGGAGCACATGTAAATGTAATTGTTCGCAATGGCAATCCACACTCCAGATACAACGACATCCATAGTGAAATATTGAGTCCAAAGCTAGAAAAGCATTCAGATGGATGGTCTGGAGTTCAGGCAAGAATAGGTGTTATGTCCCTCGGATTGAAACATGGTAGCTCACTCGGCCTTCTTATTCCTCACTAGGGGAAGAACAGAACTCAGACTCGATTGACGACGGCTCTTCGAACTCCAGTCTTTGCTCGATTAAGACAGACTATGCTTGCTCAAGTTGAGGCACATGTCGCTGCTGGTCATACCGCTCATCGTCACGTTAAGCGAGCCCCTTTTTCAACCGGGCAATTCACTCAACAATTTTTGGATATTCACTGC